TAAAATTTATAATTTATAATTTTTTAAATATTAATTAAACTATTTAATCATTTTAATATTAATTTATAATTATTTTTAATAATTTATAATTATTTTTATTAAAATATTTTTTAATTATTTACCAATTACGTTACGTAAAACTACAACATTGAGTTTATTATCTTTTTAAAGTTCGCACCAAATATAAATATTTATTTATAAATTAGACAAAAAAAATATATATATATTTATTTATTCATTTAAATCATATAATAATAATAATAATAATAATAATAATTTATATATGATTTGACTCTAGCACAATAATTGGAATCACAATAATAATAGCATAGGCATAGGACCCACTACTTTTCTTAAAGATTTTTAACATAATTTTACCATTTACTAAATAGTCTATATATATAACGGGGATTGAATTTTAAATCTACTATTCATCTTTTTTTTTTCTTAAAAATATATTAAATATTTATTTTTTATTTTTTATATTATAATAAAAATTAATTTTATATTCAGAACATCACATCAACACATATTTATATCGTATCATACAACTATTAAATTCAAAATTTTTATCATTCAAATTCTAATTCAAAATTCAAACTCTCAAACAAACACAATAGTTATTTTTATAAGGTTAGGAAATTGAAATTAATTTAGAATAAAATATTAATTTTTTAAAATGTTATTATAATAATAGTAATATTGATTGATTTTGTGTTGAATTATTAATTTTTTTGAATAAATAATATAAAAATATTATATTAATGTGTGTACATGTTATATGAATTATATAAATAATAATACTATTTTCGTTCACCGCCAATCTATCAATTTGCATTATTATTTTTAACATTAAAAATATCTTTATATTTATATAACTTTTTGTACAAATGTTATTATATTAGTATTATAAGACACTAATAAAAGTTTTTTTTGTCGTTTTTCTTTGATTTGTACTATATTTTAATATAATAATTAATATTCAAATATTAATATGGAAAAATTAAATGGATAAATTGGCGATTGGTAATACTCCCTCCATCCCATGTAATATGGGTGTATTACCGTAGACACGAGAATTTAGGAAAAATATAATTAGTAAGTAATTAAGAAATGTATTAGCAAAAATAATTATTATTTAGTAAAAATAATTATAGATTAAGATTAAAATAACTAGATAGTTTAATTAAGATTAAAAAAATTTAAATTTTCAATTTTAAGTGTATAATTAATTTTCCAAAAAAAAAAAAAATTATATAGAATCGACGAAAATAAAAAATATGAATAAATTATTTGGGACAGATGGAGTAATTTATTATCATGTGACTCAGTAGCAATATAATATTGAATCAGAATAATAATAGCATAGGAATAGTGGGACCACTACTTTTCTTATCTCTGTCTGACAATGTTTTTAATACGATCTTGCCATTTAAAGTTGTTACTAAATAGTCTATATATAGTATTATATTCTAAATATTTTAATAAAATAACTATTGATTCGTTAGGAAAATGAAATTAATTTAGAATAAAAAATTAATTTTTATTTTTATTATAATAGTATCTTAATTTAAAATTTCATAAAAAAAAATACTAATATTCCCTCCGTCTCATCATAATTGATACTATTTTCATTTTTATTTGTCCCGTAACAATTGACGCATTTCTGTTTTTGGTAAAAATTATTAAATCTAAATATATTTAATAAATATAAATCAATTTAATTAACTACATATCTTTATAAAAATTGATTTATATTAATTATAAATAAACAAAAATATTTTTTCATTTATTTGTATTATAAAAAATTTTATTCTCTATAAAATATATCCATATTACATATATTTTTTAATTGCTGTATAATTTTTTAAATATCGAAACATATATTTTGATTTTTTTAATCATATATATTAAATTTACTTTCGAACTATAAATATTATTAATTATATAAAAAATAATATCATAACTAATTATTATTAACTAATTAAATATCTTTACCTTAAATACCATGTCCCTAATTAAATGATTCAATTTCGGTGGAACATATATGTTTATTAAAATTTGTACGAAAGAAATAGCATGATTTGAAATTCAAATAATAACCAAAATGTAAATATATTTTAGTCAATAAGTTTTTACATATTACGTGACGGATTTTTTTAAAAATATTAATACATCACACATATTTATTATTTTTATATTTTTACGTAATTTTTCATATCTCATATAAAAAAATATTCATACAAATTATTTTACAAAACTAACACACCCGAGTTCGTATACTCCTTTTGTCATAAATATATAAAATATTTCTTTTCATAAAAAATGTTTATTCATTTGTTAGCAGAAAAAAATTATATTTCTTTTGTCCTATTTAATTATATAATTTTGTTCGAATACGAAAGATAAAAAATAATGATATCTTAATATAAAAATATGATAAATAAAAAATTAAAAAAAAAAATGTTAAAAGAAGTTTATAAACGACTTGATAAAATTATAATATGATAGTTAGTAAAAAGGAGTGGCAAATTGATTATAAATAATAAAATTATTTATTATAAATAAATTATAAATAAGTTAATGAACCGAAAAGAAAAATTGATATAATTATAACAAAAGGAAGAATACTATTTTATTTTATTTTAGTTTATTTTTTTATCACTTTTTTATTATAAAAAAATAAAAAGCACACATCAAATTAATTTTTTTTTAAAAAAAGTATTTTTTTCGATGGAGGAGTATAAAATTACTCGCTCCCACTTAATTGTATAATTTTTTTATTATTTTTATTTATTTTATTCAAATATATTATTGTTTTTTTATAAACAAAATAATCATGTACTAATATAAAAATATTTTTAATTTTTATATAAATTATAAATATATTACTATATATATAATTTATTTATTTATGAAATAAAATAAATAGTAAAATAATTTTACGTATTTCAATAAATTAATAAAAATATTATTATTTTTTATTAATTAAAAAATTACAAAATTAAAAAAAAGGAGAAAGTATTATTTTAAATGCATGTATAAAAAAATAGATTGATGCTTTATGAAGTTAGGGTTAACTGTTGTTTTCTCATGCACGTGGTGAAAAATTATTCATACCAACCATTCAAAGTTTGAATTTTTCAAAATAATTATTATAGTAATGATACTATTTAAATTATTTTTTGAGTTAGGTGTAGGTTATACAAAATGATCAATTTCTTTTTTATATTATTATGAAAGTGATATTTCTTGTCTTTATTATTTCGTTAAAAAATGTCTTTAATATCAAAATACGTTTCAATTTTATATTAATTACAAATATATAGTTACATATAAATATATATAAAGTATAAAAATAAAAAATATCAATTTTATTTTTTTATAAGCTTCACTAATCAAATATTTATTAATCTACTGTAAAAACTTAAATGTAAATTTGATAAATGAATTAAAAATTGAGAATAGATTACACAAAAACAAAATAAATTTTAAGGTGAAAATTATATGTAGGATGTGCTCTCTTGTTCAAAATTTAATTTAATTTTTTTTTAAAAAAATATTATATTCAAAATATTTATTTTTTTATTATACAAAACATTATATAAAATTATTATTTTATTTAAAAAATTTGAATATAAAAACAATATGCTTTACATATAAGTTAGAAGTTATCGTTTCGGTATATGGTATAGATTGAACCTCGATGTTTGAGTTTTAATTTTAAATAATATTTAAATTAATATTTTATAAAAAAACTATTTTTAAAAGTTTGAAATAATAAAAAATTTTAAATAGAGTGGTAGTTGTTGATACCTAATTATCACAAAATAAGTAATAATAATAATAATAATAATAATAATAATAATAATAATAATAATTGGTGGTGGTTGTCGATGCCTTTAATTATTACAAATTAATGAAAGAAAAACTTTGAACTTTAAAGACTTATTTAATTAAAATGTTCTATTGATATATAGTAAATATTATCTATAAATAAATATTTAATTCAACATAAATAGTATTAATTAAATGTGATGTTTTGAATAAAGAAATTTGGGTTTTAGTATTAATTTAAATATTATCTAGATTTAATATTTGTGAGAACAAATTTATGTATGTTTATTTAAAACATGAAAAATTGTAATAAATTAAAATAATATGTGAAGAGAACAAATCCTATACTTTTAATGTAATTTTTAAAATAATATATATATATAATATAATTTATTATTAAAAAAAATGATTATAAATAGTATAAAAATAAATTTAAAAACACAACAGCTAATATAGTCGTTTAATAATATTTTTTTCATTTCTCCCAACAAAATTTTAAACAAAAATGATTTCGAAACCAAAAAATTTACATTAATTGCCATCTGGTCCTCAAATCTGAATTATTCTATTTATTTTCGATTTTATAATAATTTCTTATTATTTTCTATCTATTCCAAATGAATTGCAATATTAATTTATTCAAGTAAAATTGTGTAGATTTCATTTTAAAATACTATACCAATATTAATTGCATATTTTTTTAAAAAAAATTAAATAAGAAATAAAATAAAAATAATCTGATCAAACTTTTGGGTTGTGCTCAGGCCCAGTGACGTTGAACCCGCTGGCCCAGCCTAATTTAATAAATTAAATATATTTTTAAAAAATAATTTTATATAAAAGAAAAATAATCACATAACAAAATTAGAGGTATGGTCTAATAATTGATGTTGTGGAATCAATTTCCACCCGACCCAGAATAAAGCGGATCGGGTCGGCCCGATATTGACACCCTTAATAATACCTTCATAATTCCTTCTACCTCACTATAAAATAGTATCTTTCAACAAGTTATTTTCTAATTCACGAAATATTATTTTTAAATATTATTTAAATACAAAATGCAAACATCCAATCTTAAACAGTTATACCAATATAGTCACAGATCGATACAGATAACAACATCAACAATAACAATAATCATGGATAAGAGCAAGAGCAAGCACAAGTGTAAACCAAACTAAAATTATAAGAACATCAAGTTTAAATTTACCTCAAACAAAAGGCAGATGATTCTAAAGAATACATTCTTCTCTGGTAAAAATCTCGGCGATTGCCTGTCATCGATGGTTTAGGGAGTAGTCGAAGCCTAGAGGTTGTCGACACAAGGGAGCCTGCACCATACATTATACAACTTTGTCGCTTCAACTTGTAAATAAGCGTAGAACGCGATCTAAAGATGAAAAAAAACCAGATAGTGCGCGGATGATTTAATGAAACGCGATAAAAACATTGCTACTAGCGAATTTAGTAAATGATGCGCGAGCTCATTTTGAGCTGCATTGGTCGCGCCATATTTCTAGAACTTAAATCGACATGTCCCATGTATCTGATTTTATTTGAATTTTAGTTTAAATAATATTTTGACGAGAAATCTTTTGAAAAAAAAAAAAAAAATGATATGAAGAAAGGGAGGATGAATCTACCTGAAAAAGGTTATGCCTAAGTTGCCCGTATGATTGTGCATACATCATCGATTGTGTTGGCCACTGCATATAAAAAGCTTCGCCGAAAGCTTGAGAATTGTATTGCATAAACGGAGGCTGGAACATTTGTGCATTGTACGGCGCCACGTTGAAACTCGGGGTGCTCTTAACATATCTATACCAAACAAAAGAAAATGATTCAGATCTCATGATTATATAGGAATCCAAGATTCAATAATGATCGATACCTGTCATAACTGCGATCATAATCAGGATCAGTGCGATCCTTTTCGTGGTCTCTAAAGATTGCGACTCGATAAGAATTAACAGTTTCCCTTCTGCAAAGGATTTTGTTGGCATCCACACCCATGTTCCTCGAAACTTCATTCTGTACTGATCCATCTTCCAATTCAGAATGGCTAGGGCTGCTGAAAATCCGAGCCCGTGCTCGGTCATACTCCTCTTTCCGTTCTTCCACAGTTCTTACAGGACTGCGCTTAAACCCCGGATCATTGGAGTCGCCGAAAGAGGATTTGGGTCGTGTTCTGATGACAATCTTGCTTTGATTGAGTTTGTCATTTTCAGACAGTTTAGGTTGAATGTCTGACAAACAGACCGCCGGAAACTTAGTCTCCGGCGTCTTTGTAACCAAAATACGAGCCACCTGCCCGTTGGTAGGATTGTCCTGAACCATCGTTTGTAGACCGTAGTGTTGAGCTACACGGTGTGCAGCAAGGCGAAGGTACGATGTAGGGAAGTGAGGGAATTCAAACTGCTGTTGGTCAGAATTCCGCAATAACCTCTGTATATCGAGCTCCATTCGCAGAACTGACAAAAAGAATTACGAATTCACAATCTACTTTATCATCAACTGAGTGAAATAGACAAATGGATACGAGAAATCCAAACTAAGCAAAAATTTACAGCGTACACGAGCCGGTAATCATCAATTACTGTTGTGACGGATTAGGATTAATAATTGAATAACAAACAGAAAACGTAAAGAAGACACAGATTTATTGAGGACGGCTCCATTACATATTAGAGGTTTCATATCTCCAAGTCTATTCAAATAAAATAATAGAATACATCAGACAAACTCAGCCCAATACCAACTTCAAAGCCCAATACTGCATACCGTCGGGCCGGGGGCCACTCCACGCCCCTAAACACAGGACCCTTGCCCCCGACTTATTGACTGGGCAGCGAGACCCCGTGAAAACTCAGTGAAGTAGCAAACTAAATTTAAGGCATATCATCAACTACTTCATTGTTCCCTCTAACTCCATAGGCACAAAAATTCGATAATTCAGGCATACATCATCAGCACAAGTATTTCCTTCAAGTTTCGACTCATATTTGCCCTTCAGACCATATTTCAAAAACATGTAATTAGGAATTCACAAACTACTTTACCATCAACCAAGTGAAATAAACAAATGAATACGATGCATCCAAACAAAACAAAATTGTAAAGCATATGCGAACCGGGTATCATGTAATGTGTGTCTAGATTTCTTCTACAGCATACTTCAAACATAAGGTCTTCGATACACATGTAGAGTATTTCGACTCTATCTCAACTACTATACGCTTCCCTTTAATTCCATGGACACAACGATTCGATAATTCAACAATTATTTATGATTTAACAATCAACCAAGTGAAATAGACAAAAGGATTCGACGAATCCAAACTAAAACAATATTGTAATGCTTAATGTATGCCTAGATTTCTTCCACAGCATACTTCAAACATAAGTTCTTCGAAACACATGTGGAGAATTTCGATAATTCAGAATTCAGACATACATCATCAGCACAAGCATTCATTTCCTTCGGGTTTCGACTCATATTTGCTTCTCAGACCAAATTTCAAACCAGCAGAAGTGAGACCTAAACACAACCTGAATAAAACTAAATCAATGGCATCAAGCCTAGGGCAAATGCAGATTATCTAAGCTGCTAATTCAGAAATTTCAGATAATTCTCAACGTAGATCTAAATCTAAATGCCAAAGACTTACAGCACCACCACAAGCAACGAAAAATTCAGCGGATCAGATCGATCTCAAAGCTTCACCAAACCCAAATCGACGGTTACCATTACCAATCACACACTGAACCAACAGATTCAAAATCGCGCAGGAAAGCCAAAATCCCAAATTAAACAGTAACCTAAGAAAATTCAAAATTGTAACGAACTAACTTGTTAAACGATGGCGAGGGTTTTGAAGAGCCTCGACGAGGAAGGGATCCACCATTGACACACACGCTGCGTTCCGGGTAGCCTGAACAGGTGCTTGACAAGCAGAATCCATTTTCGAAAAAATTACAAACCAAAAAACACGGATTACTGCAAACGATGAACGACTCCCGCGCAGAGGAACTGGAATGGATGATAATGGAGGGGAATTGAGAAAAGGGGCAACCCCCTTCCTCGAATTTCCTTCACGTTATCCCTCCCACCTGTTGGAAGGAGCGAGGGATCCAATCCAAGTCCTCGATTTGGATTTATATGGAAATTCTTGTCTGCTTTTTGGATTGTATTTCTGCATTTGGAAATTGGAACGAAATTGAGGTGAAAACTGAAAAAGTCAAAAATGACAAGAACCGGGCAGCGGGCAGTCGACGTCGGGAATATCTATCCAGTCTTGTCGCTGCAGCAGGGGAGATAATCCGTCCAATAGGACAACGCCACGTTTCCGTTTTCATTGGTTGAAGTAATTGGGCTTTAGTTGGGCTTCATTCCGCATACCATTTTGAATTGGTCTCGGGCTTGATAAGATTTTTTTGTTTGGGCTTATAATACGGCCCACTTAGAAGACTTAGGCCGTTGACTAGCAATTCAATGATGGGACCCACGGCATCTATGACTTTATTTAAAATATTATATTGAAAATATATATATTTAAAATAAATTGAGATAAGTTTCCCTTTTTTTATTATTTATTTTTTTAGCCACCACCTAAAAACTAACCAAACACGTCCCTAAGCCCATAATATTCTCTAAATTAATTATTAAACTGAGCTATGTAGAAGGTACAACTAGTCTGTTTACTTGTTATTTTGTTTTCATATACATACATATTTCTTTTATGGGTGTGTTTGTTTGAGGGTTTTGTTTGGATTTCTACTATTCATCCTATTTTTTTCCTCCAAAAACATCAAATCAAATACCTATTTTTTATTTTTTATATTATACTAAAAATCAATTTTACATTCAAAACATCACATCAATACCTATTTATATCACATCATACAACTATTCAAATTCAAAATTTTTACTATTCAAATCCCAATTCAAAATCCAAACCCTCAAACAAACACACCCATAAGTATTACAAATAAAATCATTGATGAAAAGGGGGTGTGTTTGTTTTTTATTTTAAACGAAAAAACAAATTATTGTTTGGATCACATCATTCTTAATAAAAATATATAATTCCACTTTAAAAATACTATAAAAATCAAAATTAAATTCAAGAATATTTATAAAAATTTAATGTTTGATTTATATTTATATTTGAGCTCAACATTTTACAAATGAACAAAAACACGTTTTAAACTAAATAAGGGACCACAAATAATTCAATAATACTACAAAATAATCTATTTTTAGCATTATTAACTTAAAATAAATATATATATAAAAAAAGCAAGTAGTGTAAGCAAAGGAACCTAATTTGCAAAATGGATAAGAGAAGACAACACATGTTTCTTCGGCGTGAAATAAATAAATTATTAATCTATTAATAAGCTTGCTTGATATATACGTTATTAATAATAATAAAAATTACATTATACAATAATATTTCATTTTACAAAACTGTGTTCTTTAAAAATAATAATAAAATATTTTAATTAATATTATAAAAAATATAATTGGTGCATTTATTTTCTAATTTAATTCAAAATATATTTTTTAAAAAAATTATATCGTTAATATAAAAAATAATATTTAATTAATATATCATAAATACATAAAATAACAATAATAATTATATTATTTATGAATTCAACGTTAATTTCAGGAATTATATATCTTCTTCGTTTCAAAATAGAAGATGAAAATAATTAAAAAATATCAGTATTATATTGATATTGGATATTAAAATATTTTTAAAATATTAATTATTGTAAAAAATAGATATAATTGTGAAAATTGATGGCAATGTAATTATTAAAAATAAAAATAAAACTATTATTTTAAAACAAATATACTAAAATAAAATCTTGATTTTTTATGAATATATATGTATATATATAACTTAATTGAAATTATTCGTTAAAGAATATTAAATATTAATTAGAGAATTAATGGGAAAAGCAGCGAGAAGTTTCTGGAGGTGTAAATAAGTCAGATACTCCTTTCAGTTGAAGACTTCCAACTCCTTCGCTTATATTTCCACGCTTCTTCTCGCCCACGCGTTTTTCCGCGTTTGTGCTCACGCTCCTTATTTTATTTATTTTTAATTATTTCTATTAATGATTAAATTTGAATTTAAAGTACTAGAAAATTAGATATTTTTCCATTATTCATATAGTGTAATTTCTGGAAAAAAAAAAAATCGCATCAAATAATTATATTTTCATAAAATATTATATAAAAGTATTAAATTTTTATCATTTTCATATAAATTTGAAATTCCAAATATCCATGAAATAAGGTGTGTTTGATTGGGGATTGGATTTTAAATTCACTGTTCATCTCAATTTTTTTTTTTAAAAAAAATATCAAATCAAATACCTATTTTTTATTTTTATATTATATTTAAAAATTAATTCTACATTCAAAACATTGTATCGATGTCTACTTATATCACATTATAAAATTAATCAAAATCCAAACTCCAAACAAACACACCCTTAAGCATAATCAAAATGAATTGAAATAATAAAAATTTTAAGGTGTATTTTTTAGTGATTTTTATAATCTAAATAATTATTTAAATATAAAATCACTAATTATTTTCACTTTAAAGATACTAAACAATCAATACAAAATAATAGTAGCAAACAAGCCATCCCAATTTTGAAATGTGACCGTATTGATTACATGTGTTACTACACTAATATAAATTGCATATTACTATAAAATTAAGATTAAAATACAAATAAACTATTATTATTATTATTATTTGTCCATAAATGTGACGAATAAGTGGTTTTATTATAACATACTACTATATTATATATATTTGGTTTTTTTTATGATTTCAAATTAAAATGAATGTTATTTAATCGTACAGTTTTTAATAAAAATATATTATTATTTTTATAAAATATTATATTAAATTCAAAAAAATGTATAATAAATAAAAAATAAAAAATATAATTACAAGAGTTCCCAAGAAATTATGCTAATATTATATTCAAATATTTTTATTTATGAGCATTTTCCATTTAGCATATGCAATACAATATTTTATAATTAGTTCAATAAATAAATAAAAGGCAAAATCTATACAAATCATATTTACAATATTAAATTACAATAATTTAGAAAATAAAATTACCATGCCCATATATATTATACAAAATCTTGGATTTTTGTAAGAACATTTCAATAATGAAATATTTCTAAAAAATAATAAGATTTCACTAATATTTAATTCATAAAATCCGAATCTAAAAAAATTGAAATAATATTAATCAATCCAAATATTATTACTGTCTTATTTTAATTTCTATAATCAATCTTTTAGTAACATAAATTATTACTAGTGAATTAATAATATCCATCAGCGATTTTATTTGATTTTCTTACCCTAAATTTTAGAGTGATAAATCGTTATTCTGGAAAAAATTGTAAGATAAGTCGTGTTTCTAATAAATAGCGCTTATCATTAAATTTAATTTTCTTAAATAAGGAATTTATTACTGTGACTATGTGAGGATTTGCAGTAATAGCGATTAAAGGCTATATAGAGCTGCGTCTCACGCGCTTTCGTCAGCGCGTGCGATGTGAAAAAGGCACAGTCAGTGGCGAGACTCTCTTCTTCACCTTCACCTTCCCAAAACCATTTTTTCCCCTCTTTTAAAACCCTAATTTGCGCATCGTCTTCGGGAAGAATTTTCAATTGTTTGGCGTAATCGGAGATGTCTGGTGAAGCGGCGGTGGCTGTTCATCTTCCGTTGGAAATGCCGCCTCCTGATGGTGAATTTGAATCGGCTCTCCGTGTCCCTTCGGTCGACGACGGCGACGGCGACTGCGTGCTCGAGGAGCTGGATTTCGATTTCGATTTTGATGATATAAGTTTACCGTCCGCCGACGTCCTCGACGTTCTTCTAAATTCCACCGATCCTGAACCGCCGGACTGTCTCCAGTTTCCGGAGCCCAGATTTTCTCAATTCGGGGCGAATTTCGGTCGATTGGAAGGAGTAATCAAGTCAACATCTCCGGAGCTCTGTGATTTGTCCGGTGACGGCGATTTTTCAGGCGATCAAAGCTGGGACGCTTCAGGAGTGCTGGATTCCGCCTCGCCGGGGATGGAGTCTCATCAGATTTCGGGATATCTCAACATGCCTTCTCCAGAATCGAACGGATCAAACCGAGGCAGCGCTGAAAACTCCGATCCGAATACGAAGGATTTGAATTGTCCTTCACCAGAATCGAACGGCTGGGGAAACTCCAGATCTGATGCTTCCGCATCTTCCAACAATTGCGCCGGACGATCTGTAAGTTCCTCACCTGATTCCATTAATAGGTCGATTAAACAAGGAGTCGTAGATCAGAAGATTAAGCTAGAGGATTCCGCAAATAACAGCGGCCTTAGCTCTTTACAGAAACGAAAAATTGAGGTTGAACATCTCACGAATGATAATCCTGTTAAGTGTAGAAAACCTAGCTGTAGCACAGAGAATAACCATAGTAGCATTGATGTCGATGTTCATAACGAAGAAGACGAGAAACGGAAAATTAGGTTAATGAGGAATCGAGAAAGTGCTCAATTATCTAGACAGAGGAAGAAGCATTACGTAGAAGAATTAGAGGATAAAGTAAGATCTATGCATTCAACAATTCAAGATTTGAACATGAAGATTTCATACGTAATGGCGGAAAACGCCACTCTCCGGCAACAGATGGGCGGCGGCGGTGGCGGCAGCAGTGGTTCTGCTGCAGCCCCTGCAGTTCCGCCGCCTCCAATGGCTGCACCGCCGCCCCCCGGCGTCTATCCGATGATGTATCCATGGATGGCATGTCCGCCGCCGTATATGATGAAACCACAAGGATCGCAAGTGCCATTGGTGCCGATCCCGAGGTTGAAAACACAGTCTCCGGCACAGGCGCCGAAGGAGAATAAGAAGGTGAAGAGTCGGAAGAGTGAGGGGACGAAGACGAAGAAGGTTGCCGGAGTTAGTTTTCTCGGATTGTTGTTTTTCGTGATGTTGTTCGGGGGTTTGGTTCCGATGTTCAACACACGATACGGAGGCGTTACGGAAATGTTTACGACCGGCGTGAACGACTTTAGCATTGGAAAACACCACGGAAGAGTGTTGATGGTGAACGGTACGGAGTTTGTAGAGAAGCCTGGCAGTAGACGTGATTATACTAACAGTAGTAAAGGGGAGCCGAGTGCCGATGAATTTATTCGAATGGGGAATGGCAGCGAACATCTTGCGGCGTCGTTATACGTTCCTAGGAACGACAGGCTGGTTAAGATCGACGGCAATCTGATAATCCATTCGGTGTTGGCGAGCGAGAAAAGTAAGGCGTCCCGTAGAACAGAGGGCAGCGCCGAAACGGGGCTGGCGTTTCACGGAGATTTAGTTCCTGCAATTCCCGGCCCTGATGCAGGCCGAAACGGCGGTAGACATGCTCACCTAAGGGCTCTCGGATCTTCGGAAAAGGAAGGTATGAAATCAAAGTCGACTGATGGAAAGCTTCAGCAGTGGTTCCGCGAAGGCCTCGCCGGTAATCTCTCTTTTATTTTTCAGTGTCACCGTATTTTAACGATCCATGTTATGTTAATTTACAGTTGCTAGAAAAATGCAAGATTATCAAGAATCGAAATCTTAGGTTTTGTGCTCGTCTAGCTTCTTAACGATCCGTGTTAATTTAGTTGCTACGAAAATGCAAGATTATCAAGAATCAAAATCTTAGGTTTTGTGCTCGTCTAGCTTTCTAACGATCGGTGTTAATTTAGTTGCTACGAAGATGCAAGATTATTGATAATCGAAATGTTAGGTTTGGCGCGCGGCTAGCTTCCTTTCCTCGCGCATTATGACTTATTTTTGTCAATAGTCGAATGTGTTTCATGATCTGTTCTAGTTTAATTCTGAGTTTTGGCGAGGAACCGAAGTAAATAATCTGCGCCGTGCTTGTTTATTCGAGTTCATAAGTTCAATTTATCGTTTTCTTTTTCATCTAATCTTGTGAAGCGATTTTGATTCAGGACCGATGCTGAGTGCGGGAATGTGCACCGAAGTTTTCCAGTTTGATGTCTCGGCAGCTTCCGGAGCTATTATTCCCGCTCCGGTCACGAGAAACATATCCGAAAAGCCGAATAGAAACTACACCCAGCTGAGCAAGGGCAAAAACCGGAGGTTCCTCCACTCGATCCCGCTCCCTGATTCCTCTCGCAACATTTCGAGCGAACCCTCGTCGGGATCAAAGGACGACAACTTTAGCGGGAGCAAGAACAAGTCGTCGATGGTGGTTTCTGTGCTCTTCGATCCCCGAGAGGCGGGCGACGGCGACGTTGATGGCGTGATGGGAGCCAAGTCGCTATCGCGGATATTCGTCGTCGTTTTGATAGAGAATGTACGGTACGCGACGTATTCGTGTATGCTCCCGTTTAAAGGGATCGTTTCGCATCTGGTGACGGCGTGAGGACCGGTGAGGTCGAGTTTTGTAGTCTCGTCGTCGTCGCCGGGAGTGCAGAAATAAGTTATTCGACGTAATGTAGCTGTTTATACTGCATCACTAATTTGACTTTTGACATGTAGATTTTTGAAATTTACGTCGCGATGTTAATGTAGAAATAAAAAGCTCGTTCGCTTGTACTATGATCAATTGATTGTTCGATCGCCGCGATTACTTTTTCGAGGTGTTGTTAGCTTTAGGTCATCTCATCTCCATTTATTCAATTTTAACTCTAAATATGCAATTGCTGTAATTTTATTTTAATTATAATTCTATTTTTTACTATTATTTTTTAAATATTTAATTTTTTATGTTATTTTAAATAATTTTTTTATTTTTATAATTTAAAATAATTTTTTAATAAATTTTAAAATTAAAATAAAAAATTTTAATTTTAATTTTAATTTTGTTTTGAAAAAAAGGATGCAACACCATTTTCATTTTTTGGTGTTACAACGCCCAATTGGTCTTAGAGAGTTCTCAATGTTAGGGCTATGTATCCACGTTTATGCTAAAATTTTGATTTTGATATTATTTTATTTTATAAAATATCATATTAAATATATATTTTTTATAAAATAGTATATTAATTATTTTTAAAAATTCAAAAACTCTAATAGTGGCGGTTACTATGCTGTATAAATATTGCATGTTTCTATATATACTACGCTGTGTAAATATTTTTACTTGTCGAAATTATATTGTATTATTTGAATTATATACCGTGTCATAAGAATATGTAATGTATTTTATATTATTATGTGCAATAAGAAATATATTATTTGTTCTTTATATATATATATATATTAATTAGGTCAAAATCGAATTAGCTCTCTTTTCTAAAATAAATATATTGCCCAACAAATGCAAATACAAATAATAACCATAAATATATATATATTCCAATGAAAATAAACAAATAAATAAATATATATATATATATAATATACACATATATAATTATGTATTTAGAAAATTAATATAAATACTTAATTAGCTATTTAATTGGTCCCGATTTATTTAGATTTTAGATCATGTAAGCCCAATAATTTGTGTACCTCATCCTAAAATATGAAGATACAAGAGTGGGTTCTTTTTACTTTTTACTTTTTGTTTTTTCTCTTCCTATTTTTTTTTTTAGAAAAAAAAACTATTCAATTTTAAATAAAAAAATATAATATAATTTCATAAAATATTGTATTAGAATAATGTTTTAATCAAAATTAAAATTAAAATCCTCCCAAAAAATGCAAAAAGAATATCCAAACACATAAAAATTGTGAAATATTATATGAAATGATGTGGTATGTTTTTGTTGAATTTTAATTTTATGTGTATATATAGTAGCATATTATATATTGTAGTTTTAAGATAATATATATATATTTTCTAAATCGTGTATATATAAAATACAAAGTACAATTTTCTTTTATTACATTAAATATATTTTTTTTATACAAAATATCACATATAACAATTATTTTATCTTTAAAATAATATTAAAAATTAAAATATATCAAAAGAACATGCTCAACATGATCAAAGACAACCAACGTATATAAACAAATTTATTTTATTTATTTATTTGTATGACTAAATCCTAAAAAAATTGTACTATTTGATAAAGAGATACGAAGTTTAGATAAACACAAATATGTATACTTTTAATAAACTTTTATAGTCAAAAAATTCTCAGAAATGATTTGTCTTCATCAATAAAGATTTTTACAGACAAAAAATGTCTATCGTTTTAAAAAACATAAAAAATAAAATAAACACGACAAAAAATTATGATAAAAATTCCCCCTTTAAAGGAAAGAAGAAAATAAAATACCTTTTACATTCATAATAAAATGTGTGTATATGTTACGTGAGGGTATGGCAAAGCTTACATTTATTTCTAAAAAATGATTAATTTATATGGACATTATTATATCTCAAAAGGTTACATCAACAAATTAAAATTAAAGAAATAAAATACACACCAAAAAAAAAAAAACATTAAAGTAGAAATTTAGGATTGAGTAAATATATCTATTATATGTGTACACACCTAAAAATGTGCATACGAAAATTCAATAAAATAAATCAATCGATCATTTTTAAAGTAGATAAGACACAAAGTACTATTGTTTTCCCTTCGATCATTTAGACGAAAAAGAATTGAGAATAATGAGGTGAATTTTTCGATATAGGGATGGAAATTAATTTTTTTGAAAAAAAAAATATTTTAATTAAATTATTTGATCCGTAATTGTATAAGAACTCTATGATAATTAATTGTTTCTTTCGAATCAAACTTTACATCTGAAGCACAATCAAGAATCTTAAAGAAATGATTGTGTCATTATAAAAATTCAAAACATACCACATTGGAACTTAAGAAGAAATTAAATAAGATGAACAATAGAGAATAAATGTTCATTTTGTTCTTGAATTTTAATACCTAAATTCAAAATTTAATACCAAATTTTTAGATATAGTATTCGATTACATATTTTACGAAACTCAATAGATCGAAACCAATACAATGAAAAATAAAAAATAAAAATGCACATGAATGGTTTGCTCATTTTTATTCACCATGTATTATTATTTTTTCAAGAATACATTATAAAACACAAATTAAAATATACTTATTTTAGGGCATCAAATTTAAAAGGTAGACATGTATTACTAAAATACCTATCATTTTATATAAAAGTATAGAAATATTTCTATAAAAATGAAATCTTTGTAAGAGGGGATGGATATTTTATTTTTTACAAACTTAAATCACATTTACTAAATATAAAATAATCTTGTTCTTTATCTAACGTGAAAATATTAAATATATTTAAAAGTAACCGTTGGAGAATATAAAATAGACACAATAGTATAAAAATTCACTTGTAGTTTATGAAATTTGTTTGAAAACTTTCATCGTTTAAAATCTGCGTCAAAATTTTTTATAATTTTAGAATATCTACTTTTAATTTTATTTTTCTCATTAGTTAACTAGGGTTATTTTATATGCGCCTTAATTGTGAAGGTAATTTAAAAACTCTATAACTACGAAATCATCGTTAACTAATAATAAAATATGATTAAATGTAAATAAATAAAAAATTGTTAATCAAATTCCATCACCAACTATGTTAAGCAACTTATTGATATTTTGTAAATCATTGCATGCATGCATATATATATATATATATTATATTGTAAGTTATTGATATATCTTTTATAAAGAAAAGTTTTCTCCCTATATATATAAATATTTATTTTTTTGAATGAATGCTGTTTTTGGTAGCTCTGATTAGTGGGAAAAAATTATATAATCAAGTGATCGAATAAAAAAGTTGCTTTAATAACCTTTTAGTGTCATTGATTTTATTTTTAAATCAATAATATAATTATTTTCGTATGGGATTGGAAAAAAAAAAAAAAAAAAAGAGCTATCTTTGACCAAACTTTTATGTGACCACAATAATTCATTTCTTTTTGATACTTAGGACAATTTATTAAATAATTATTTAATTAAAGAATAGGTACTATTTGGTCCGGTATGGTGGTTGGTATCATAAGTAATTAAATCCTATAAATAAATTTTCAGTCGAATTTAGCTAACTAAAGTAATTTGCAAATTATTGCGCTCGACTATGATATTTATTTAGTACGCATCCAAAGAACGGATTAATAGTTGCGAGAATATAAATTTATTGCCTAAGGTTCTTAACTAACGTAGTTTGCAGATTATTGCATACGATTGTTAAGTTTATTTAGTATGTATTTAAAGAATAATTTAACGATTGTGAGTTCCTATATAATAATAATAATAATTGAATGAATGGCTTTGGTGATTTATTATTATTATTATTATTATTATAAAAAGTAATATCAATCAAGAAAGTAGTGCAACATTGTATTAATCAATCATGTATGAATGAAAAATAAAATAAAATAATATTGTTGCTATGAAAATCGACAAAATTAAAAGGCTAGATACCCTAAGAAGTAGGTGTATTTATTTAAACATTGAAGCTGTACCCTTTTTTAATTTTTTTTTTTTTTTAAATTTTTTTTTTTGTTATTGATTGTTTTAGGTGTCGACAACTAGTGAGTTTATATATTGTTGTATCTTAAAAAGATAAATAATTATATTATGCCTCATTAAATGATAATTTTTTTTTGACAAATTATACATATTGTGTGAATTTCAAGTAAAGTATTAAAATTATAAAATTAAGAAAACCCTTAAAACCACATTAAAGAAAGAAAAGAAGGAGAATAAAAAAAAAAAAAGAGTTTTACTTATAACATTTGTATATAAAACTAAAAATCCCATGTCGAAGATATTTTTGTTCATTCACAAATTAAACGAGACCGCTCACAAAAAATACAATATGTTTATCCAAGACATATAACGTTAAAATATAATCGATCTACTATATATGTAACCGCACGGGCTACTATATATGTCTCAACACACACACATATATATATATATATCAATAATCGATCTCATCTTTCATAAAATGAAATTATTAGTTTTATTTTCTAATTTAATTTGGTAGTATTTCTTGGAAAATGGCTTTAATTATTTGGTTAGCATTTATCAAGAACAAAGAGAAGGATCGAACAAAGTTATTGAATTCAATAAAGGGTTTGGTACAAAGAAAAGTTCATGTGATATCATTTTTATTTCTCTATCCTCATTTCTCTGTACCAAACACAACCTTATAGTAGATAGCAATTTATTTAGGGTTTAAATGGATCGAGCTTTTACTCACCAATGGCTACCAAATTGTTAAGCAATCAATTTACATATTTATATATACACACATTATAATGTGAAGTTACCTTTTAGGGAAAAAAAAATAAAAAATCTTATATTAAAAACATATTATAATTATAATTTTAAGTACATAATTTGTGAGATCATGTAATTTATATGATTTGTAGTGTATTATCATTTTTTTTTAAACGGCGAGTTTAATACTTCATTCGTCCGCAAAATTTATTCTTACTTTCCTCTTTAGTTCGTCAAGTAAATTTATTTGGCAAAGTCAAATCAACTTTTAAATATTACTCTTCGTTCAATTCTTATTTACAACAAATACCATTAACTTTATTACATTATCTCTTGTTTACTTTGTTTTTTAACTAAATTTTCAAAAATATCCTCAACTATCTATCACTTTTTCAATAAAATATTTATTTTTCTTAATTTTCATGTCGAATCCAAATTGGCTAATTTTAATGGACGAAGTGAGTATAATGGTATTTGCCAATGTAAAAATGAATTAATCAATCAATTCTAGGAATTGTGCTTATTTATATATATATATATATATATATTTAGGGTTTTTCATCACCTATATAAAAAATTGAAGCAATTCTTGTATGCATTGTCCAAATTTAAATAGTGTTAAGGGATGCCCTTCATCTTTCAAATATTATCCAAATCCAAATCCAATATATATATATATATATATATATGATGAAGATATATATATATATAGAGAGAGAGAGTAGTGATTAATTAGTGGGACAGAAAATGAAAGAGACAATGGGTTCATTACTGGGAACCAATTTAGGCTGTCGATCGAGGGGTCTGATTAGATGCCCATTTTCTCTCTCTATCTCCACTTTACACACATATATATATATATATAATATGTATATATAGAGAGAGAGAGAGTAAGAGAGAGAGAGGGTGTTGTGTGAAGAAGACACAAAAGGGGTCTTCATTGTTGGTTTTAATTTGGACTCCTATTCAAAGCAAAATCAATTTAGGATTGTTGAATATTTATATATTTGAAGACAAGAAAATGTTAAATTGAATTGCTGTTGAGATTTAAGGCAATTATATATAAAGGCTATTATCACATGGTAATAGATAAAAATATATACACCCCTTGCCCCCACCCTCTATTTATTTATTTATTTTTTATTATATATTAATTTTAATAATAAAAAATATCAATAATTAAAATTTGTTCTTCTTTTATTTTAAATTAAAAATATTACTATTATTTATTATGTATATTTTTTAATAAAAATATATATATTTTTAAAAGAATGTTATTAAAATATTATTTAAATAAAAAACTTCAAAGTTAAATCAAAATAAATTATTGATTGTGAAAGTAAAACAATTTAATAATTTTTTCAAAACAAACTTTTTTTCATAGAGAGGACACTACTATTTTTTTTTTCAAACAATACAAAAATAAATATATATAATATGTAGTTCCTATTGCTATAACTTGTTATTTATTAAGATTTTAAAAATTGAAGTGTGGAATAATATTATGTGTTGCCTGTCAACCCATTTATGTGCATAATAAATTAGAGTAAATTTTAAAAATTCAATCCCCCATTCGAATCGAGTCTAGTTCCGCCACTATCACTACAAAAAAATTGTAACGAGGTTTTTTCGTTCCTAAATCTATTTTTTCTGTTACTAATCATATTAGAGATGAAATTGCGTTAGCTACGTGAACTTTAGGAACGGAATTCCGTTACAAATATATTATTTTTTTGTAATGTATATACAAACAACACATGAGATGTAAACGATATAACACAAGACCTAACGATCACAAGTTTATTCTTATACTATCAGATTATCCATTATTGACCTCGATTAAAATATCTATGAAAGTACAATAAATAGATGATAAAATAAAATAGTTAGATAAAAATGTAGATTTTTTATTTTTAGAAAATAATATATACTAAATTATACTTCTAGAAGAATATAGGATGTGTTGTATATAACAAGACGGTCGCTTCACGTACACAAGGAATTACGAGAGTTCCAGCTTATCCTCCAACAAGGTGATAAGCAGTACAAACTATTCAATAATAAATATATATATATATATATTTATTTATATAAAAATATATATATAGGATTCAATTTGGTGGTAGATGACGAAATTATTCGCAGTACGTAAGATAAATGTATTATCAGAAATATATATATATATATATATATTTGATTCTGGAGAATATAGGGAGGAATATAATTAATAGAATATCCTCCAGCAGCATAATTGCATTGTTGAAATTCCACAAAATACTAACTATTATTATTATTATTATTATTATTATTATTATTATTATTATTATTCCTAAATCCAATTCCCTCCCACTATTTCTTTCTTGTGTCTGTATATACATCACCCTAAGGATTGATTCTCCCTTTCATCATCCACACGTACGTACGTGTGTGTAAGTGTAACACAACAATCGATTATATAAATATATATATATATATATTGAACAATGGAATAAATATAGTATTTTAATATTATGCATAAATATTGAATCATAATGTAAAGATATTTAGTATTTTATTGAACATTTACTTATCAAACTACAAGAAATAACTGAATCATGTGAGGATCAAATTAAATCCAAAAAGATAAAAAAAAAAAATTCAAATAATACAAGTTAATACCTTTAAAACTTATATACTTCTTCTTTCCACTTTATAAATAAGCCATTTTCTCATTCTTTTTATTATTAAAAACTAAAGCATCCAATTTTCATTTTAATACATATATAAATAAAAGAAAAAGAAAATAACGATATACCCTTGTTATGCATTACAAATGCATTCAAATTTACATTTATTTACATTAATATTATTACATTGATTAATTTATATATATATATATATAAATCTTTACATACAAAAAATTATCACTAACTATTATTAAAATACAATATTCATTAAATTCTAACCCAAAAGAAAATACTTTTAAAATATCACTAACATGTATCAATTTTATCATTTTCATCTATCCTACTAAAGTAAAAATAATTCATATATAAATATTAAAATACTCATACTTTTACAATATCATCTTATACATTATACATTTTTACTAATTAAGACAATATTATTATTTTTTAATCTACTAAAAAAATAAATGTATATTTGAGTTGGGATCGAATGGTGTGATAATGTCATTACATCATATCCCATTTACAAATAAAGCAGATTCTATATATCCAGAATAAGGCAAAGTCTACTATTAATATGCATCTATCTAATGATCAATAAAAATCGAAGGAATATATTCATACATCTAATCTTCAACCTTCAATCTATTTCCTAACAAGATTTTAACAGAACCAAAGCTTATAAGAAAAACAGATCATCATCAATCAATCTAGGTGAAGTTTTTCATGATCTCCGATCACATGTTCGGCGAAAATCACACAACACACGAACGTAAAAGCTCGTCGCTTCTAGTTTAGGGATCAAAACATACACTACAAACACTAGAAAATGGAATCCAAGAAACAAAACTGAATAAAAATGGATAAGCATCGGGTGCTCGGGTGATTTAGCTAGATCCCATTATTACGTAAAAAAAAACAAAGAAAAACAAAAAACAAGTTTTTCACTTTTCCATGTTATTCCCTTCTTCTAATGCCACTTCGCCTACCAAACGTGTTCTTCACAGTAACATTTTGTTCTCAACACGCCGTGATCACTTTAAAAAACAAAAAACAAAAAAAGCCGGGGGATGAAAATACTCCCGTAGACAAAAACTCAAGCAAATTTGTCCTAAATGCTTTCCTTTTAACCATCACGGGGGGTTTCTTGACTATTTTGTGTTGTGCCACCGTGGTTTGGTGGTGTAATAAGTGTCGCCGGGCCAAGATGATGTCGGGTGGGACCCGAATCACCTATGGCATCAGCCCGCACTAAATTCAACTTTGCATAAGGCTCTAGTTTTTGGTTGCTTTCCAATCACTTGGCCACTATAAGGACAAGAAATGGAAGCCACTTTACTCGTGTAGATCGACGCCACGTGGATGCTCGATCCACCGTTGGCGCTGGTTTAAGCCTACACACAAGAAATTAGTATATCCAAAAGGATGCACCTCGGGGGGGAGGGGAACCGAGTCCCTTATAAATACCTCATTGCAGTCCCTCTTATCCTTAGGACAAACACAAGCTATATCCTAAGTGTTTCTCCTCTCTAAAACAACCTCTTCTTACAAACTACTTCTCCAATTAGTGAAAAAACCCGACACCAAGAAAAAAAAAAGAAGCATGGAAGGAAAAGGGTATTTCCGTGGGGGATGTTTTGAGAAGGCTAAGCCATACATAGCCATGATCTGCTTGCAGTTTGGCTATGCCGGGATGAACATTATTACGAAGGTTTCTCTTAACAGAGGGATGAGCCACTATGTTCTTGTTGTCTATAGGCATGCTTTTGCCACTGCAGTTATTGCACCGTTTGCAATACTGCTTGAGAGGTAGGTGCCCTTGATCGAGGAATATATTGTTTCAAGACTATTTGTAAGATTCTAACTAATGTGTTTATCGTTATTTGGGCAGGAAAGTGAGGCCAAAGATTACATTTACTATGTTCTTGCAGATATTTGTGTTGGGACTTCTTGGGTTAGTGTTTTCTCGAGACATACATAATGCTAAAAACCTATCTTCTATTCTTATTACAACATAGATTCATCGATCTTTTCCACAGGCCCGTCATTGACCAGAACTTCTACTATATGGGGCTTAAGTTCACTTCTCCAACTTTTTCATGCGCGATGAGCAACATGCTCCCTGCCATGACGTTTGTCATGGCAGTCCTTTGCAGGTAAGAAAAAGACAAGATTTCTACTTAAAAACATCTAGTACTGAGTTGAAGAAACTAATCATTTTAGCGTATGTATAGGATGGAGAAGGTGGACATCAAGAAGGTTCGATGCCAAGCAAAGGTATTAGGAACGATAGTGACGGTTGCAGGAGCCATGCTGATGACTCTCTACAAGGGTCACTTGGTGAAAATGGCGTGGTCCAACTACATTCATCCTACAAAGTCCTATGATGTCTCTAACACAGTTCAACCGGACAGCGAAAAGGACTGGCTCAAGGGGTCGATCCTCCTCATTATCGCCACCCTCGCCTGGGCATCCTTCTTCATCCTCCAGGCCATTACACTAAGGAAATACACGGCACAGCTGTCTCTCACAGCACTTGTGTGCTTCATGGGAACGCTGCAATCCATTGCCGTGACCTTTGTGATGGAGCACACCCCACATGCTTGGAACATAGGGTTCGACATGAATCTCTTAGCAGCTGCTTATGCTGTAAGAGAAACTTCACACTATAGTTATGGATAGATGACAGGAGTTCAAGCTTTTAGGTGAAGTTAAAATCTAAAGAAACTCGATTTTTTTGCAGGGGATTGTTTCGTCAGGGATAGCATACTATGTGCAGGGGCTGGTGATGCAGAAAAGAGGGCCGGTTTTCGTGACAGCATTCAGCCCGTTGATGATGATCATCGTGGCTGTGATGGGTTCATTCATCCTGGCTGAGAAAATATATGTTGGAGGGTAATTTGATTAAACAGCTAATAACTCATTACTAAATATGCTATAAACATCAAGAATCAAAATCTGACTAACTAAACTGGTGTTCCTTCCTTTCTTTGAAAATAGGCTTCTTGGGGCAGCCCTGATTGTGGTAGGGCTCTACTCAGTCCTATGGGGCAAATACAAAGAGTACAAGGAATATAATGAAGCAGAAATCCCTGAGCCAGTAAAAGATGGGAACAACCAGTGTCCAACAATCATGGAAGACATAGAAGCAAATGTTGTGGAAGATCATAGCAGAGAAGATTCTAGAATGTCTGTTCCGGCAGTAGCCATTAGTGCCCCAATCCCACAGCCTCCCATGCTGGCCTTTCAGGCACCTAAGGCATGAGGCTCATGCAGGGGCATTCTAGTCATTTCATCATACTACTTTTTTTCTTTTTCTTTTTTTTCTTCTTTGGTGTGGGTAAGTTAGAGGGACTTGTAATTTTTGGTGGAAGGTGAAAGTTCCTCTGGAGAATTTTATGAAAAAAAAGGAATTTTGGTTGTTTATTAAATTTTGTGTTAGACAGTGTTTTTCCTAGTATAACTCCACTTTGGATTTGCTGATGTCTGATTCAGCTTCCCACTTGGGATTTGGGGATATGAGTTTTAAGGGACTACATAAAAACTAAAAAGAACAAAATTAAAAAACTTATGCAGCAAGATGGAGCAAAGCATAATCAACAAGTGTCTCTACTAAGTAGATGCAACATGTGAATGGTGTGATTGTCCTCAAGAATATGCATGCATCAGGTTAGATAGACAGGATATGTACAGAGACAAAGAATATAAGCAATTTAATGAAATCTGATTCCAACTAGTGCTATGCCAAATTCTGCAATTTGGGATTCTGTTTCTCACTCACCACTATGTAATGTAACATGGCTCATCAAGTCTTTATCCTACTATATACTACAACAGCTATGCAATCAAAACCTATATTCTTCTTCACATTTAGACATAACATGTATCTTCCTATCCTTTCTTCCTAATTCTTGCTAACTAACTTTTTCAATCAAAATTTTAATTTCCGTGTGTCCCATTTCATTTTAGTTGCAAGGATGGTGCCTAAATTGAGAGATCAATCAGGTGGAGCTTCTAGATTAAATGATTCCCTATCAAATTTGTCTGTCCCATTTCATTTTAGTTCTAAGGATGATATCTAAACTGGGAGATCAATCAGGAGGAGCTTCTAGATTAAATGAGTCCCCTATTATTCACACTGACAACAAATTGTATATAAAAACTCTAAGGCTGCCATAAAGAAAGAAATAAATAATGAACAGTACAAGAATAATTAGCTGGTGAAAACTCTCAGAATGATATTTCTTCACATAGTTACAATTATTTTTCTCATCTTTTTGCATAATATATTCAACAGAAAGGAAATATAAAGTCAGGGCAGGCAATAATGGGACCAAGACAGCAATTATAATTAGAGTGGTTAATCTGCATGGAATTCACTACACCCGACATAAATTATGCGGCATCGATTCTCCACATAAACTTTAATTATCATTGTTGTAATATAATATATTGTTGTTCTATTGCTTGGCGACACCCTTCAACAACTCCATCAATCATTATAATATTACCTATATCTAATCTCCTACCACTATCATAGTCAATAATCCAAAAACACACAATTTAAATAACATTTAATCAAATATCTGCATGCTGAAGTAATCCGTGAAAAGACAGTCACAAACTGGTGCATTTGTATTAATATCACTTCCAACAGTTTGATCCACCTGTTGCTGTTTTTCTTTTGTTACCATGATTATGTTCTGCATTTTCAAATGGATTCCAAAACCCATGAAATCTATAGCTAGACAACAAAAAGGGTGCAGCAATCCAGACTAATCAATTATTTAGCTGGCCCAGAAGAACATAACCCAGAGTTTCAAATGCCCTACATATTTATTATGTATTTACCTTTTTTCTGCATAATTCTGGCCACATTCCTTTTTTCTGCATAATTCTGGCCACATTCTATTGCAAAGGTTCCGAAACTCTCATGAGGAGGACAAACCATTTGGCATTTTCGTATTGATCAGAGCAAATATCACAAAATGAGAATGTGAAGTGGAATAGTTACACCATCTAATGGGTATGTGTATTCTACTGCTAATGTATACATCAATAATAATGCAAGCTTTATACTATACGAAGATTTAATCGTATCAAAATAGGCACATATTTACTTTATGTACGAAATCAGATGACAGTATACAGATACTTCATAGTCAAGGTAAAGGCAACCTACGGTTTACACATATATTGCATTGCATACTGTATATTTTCCCATTCATTAGTTATCATTCATAGTGTCATACTACTTGCTTACAATGAAACTGAGTCTCTTTTGTCGAATCTCCTCATTTAATGTCAATGTAACTTCGAAACTGATGGAATCTTCAATGATCTGCATCCAAGAAAACTCAGCACTAAGTCCATAAATAATGCAACTTAAAGCTCAAACTTCATGGTAGTGTGAAGAATTGTTCGTTATAGTCCAGAAATATGAATCATATACATACTATGCTCGATTTCAAGGCCAGGAGGTTTACCATTTGCAGGCTTGAATTCCTGAAGTTGCTTGAAGTTCATCCATGGCTTCACCCACACTTTCGCTTCGTATAAGTTTTTCTTCTCACCATCGGCTGCTTCCAGGGTAAGATAGTAGATTTTACCGGCCACAACCTGTTCTTTCGCCTTCACTACTCTCACCAACTTGAGAACAGCGTTCTGTTAAAACATGTAAAAACAACATAGAGTTATAAACAATGTTCTAAACCAGAAAATATTTCGATCAATTCAACAATTCCATCTTTCACCAATACACCTAACATTTTGAAGCCTCGCTTCTTTCGTAAACAACTTACACTGTAAAATCCAAATCATTTCAATATCACGAATCAAATAAACAGCCACGAAAAATGGCTAGAAATCAACGTAAAACTGCGTTTTCATCAAAAGAAACATCGATTAACTCAGACCAAAATATAGCAAAAGCAGTTTGGCTTTCCAAAATTGAATTTCAACAATGGGATCATCTGAAACAATTTCGATACAAAGCTCCCAATCTTTTACCCTATCCCAAAGCATCTATTCAAATTACCATATGAACAAATCGATTAAAAATTTCACGACCTCATCTCCAACAAACACAATTTCATAAAGATCATCTCAATCCTTCATACAAACAGAGGAATAAATCAAAATTCAAAAACCGAGAAGAAAAATTACCTGCTTATCGTTATGCTGTTGAACAGCAAACCTACCGATACTCTCGATCTCCGCGCTGTTCTGGCTGCCATTTCTCTGACCACCAACAATTTCCATCTCCCCCGACTCAGCATCACAAAACACACAAAATATCACCAATAACAAAATTACGTAAAGCTTTCCGTTCTTCACGTCACCCATATTTGCAAACACTGAAAATTTTCCCAGAAACTCCACTCAAATTACTCGGCCGATTCAATCCTCCACGACTCCCCCACTCGTCCGTGATCAGTTCTACTTCTTCTTCTTCTTCTCGCGTTGCAGAGATTCTGCTTTGCCTTCACGTCTAAGGATTCTCCCAGTTTGTTGGAAAGGCACATTCTGAAACCACTCTGCTTTAGTGGGCCGTAATTGGGCCTTTTGGCCCATATTTGATTGGCATTCAGCCCGATTGAAATTATGCTTTATTAGGCCGTAATTGGGCCTTTGGCCCATTTTTGATTTATTGATGCCCGATTGACATTCTGCTTTATTGGGCCGTATCTGGGCCTTATGGCCTATCTCTTTTGAAGGCTGTGTGTGGGATTTATTTATTTTTAGATATTTTATTATTTACTATTTTTAAAACAGAAATTAAATCAATTATTTATATTTTATTTTATATATATTACACTAAAATAAATTTTATATTAAAAGTATTATATCAATATTAATTTATATCACATCAAATTATTATTTAAATACTCAAAATAATTCCAAACATAAATAAATATAAAGGTTTATTTTGTTTGCATTGCTTTTTTTTTTTTTTTAATTTAACTAGTATTTGAATATGTTTTTATTAATAAAATAATATATATTTTTACAAAAATAATGAAAATTATATATTAAAAATATTGAAAATTTAAAAAGAACAAAAAATTATATATTATATTAATATATAAATAAGAGTATATCGAATATATATAGTATAAGTATATAATTATAATATAAATAATAAATATTAATTTATTATCATTTTTATATAGTTAGTCCGTGTGTCAATCCATTTTAAGTCCTGTATTTTAACGGATCTTTACAATTTGACCATCACTCAATCAATTTTGACAGTTCTAAATGTAAATTTTGATATAATTATTAATCAATATATAATTTTTTAAAAATATACTATATTCGTCAACTTACAATATTAATATTTATTTTTTTTATATTGATTTTTAAATATTAATTGTTATATCTAGACGTAATATAAATAAAAAGAAAAAGACAAAAATACTTTATTAGTGTTTTATAATACAAAATATAAGAATATTATTAATGTTAAATACAATAACGTAAAGGTAAATATAAACTTATTAAATGGACGGAGGGAGTATATATCATTACATTTAATATATCTCCGTCCGGCTCTAAGTTCAATTTACTTTTTGCGTGTTTATATTTGAATATTAACCATTATATCAAAACGTGGTACAAATTAAAAAAAAAATTACAAAGATACTTCAATTAGTGTCTTGTAATACTAATAAAAAAATATTTGTTCAAAAAATTATACAGATATAAAGATATATTTCTAATGTTAAGTACAATGATGTAAGAGATAAATGCGACTCTTAGATGTAGACTGGGGGAGTATTAAATAATTAAGTTTTTATTATTTTTTAAATTCTTCAAAATTTTAAAACTTTCCAAACAACCATGATGATATTTATTAGAGTAAATATTAATATATTTATATATATTTAAAATATTGTAGAATGTATAATGTTATTTTTTATTTGTGAAAAAAACACACTTATTTCCTATATAATCCAACTCTAAACATACTTTAGATAAATTATACTTTAATAAAATTTATTAATAAGTACATATTTCTTCTTACATAATCATTAAGATATTATTTAAACAAAATTTTAAATTAAAAATTAATTTTAAATAAAATACAAACAATCCATTTTATGATAATTTTTTATTAATTAAATTATCAATATAGTAATTTCTATTATTTAATACTTTTTTATCTGTCAATTTTAACTTGCTTTCTTTATAAATTTTTACAAAAATATGACTAAAGTAAAATGTAAAAGAAAAAATAAGATTAAAATTGACGGACGAAAGAAAATTATTGTTAATAAATTAAATTCACAAAATATATCTAGATTTACATTATATAATATAAATTTAATATACTTTGATATCTATATTGGCATAAATTTAAATTTTTTATAGTAATATAATCCATATTTAATCAAATAATAACAATCTTATTTTTATTTTTTTTAGAAAAAAATCATGTCAATAAAATGTGTAGCTAATTTCTGCTTCTTCTAAAATTTATCAAACTTTATAAAATTAATATAATTAAATTTTAAAAAATGTACACATTTTTTTATTGTTAAAATTATTTATAAAATAAAATCATTTGACGTGTTTGGCTGTGATTTTAGTTTGAATACAAATATAGTTTACTTCTATTTTTTTTTTTAATAAAATATTCCATTACAAATAAAAATTCAAATAACACTTTATATCAAATAATTTCAAACAACTATAGTATATTGTATCATTTTAGTTTGATTTTTCTTTTCTTCAATATACTTTTCTTCATATAAAATTTTATTATCTATATTCACATATATTTATTGAAAAATAATATTTAAAATATCTAAGTATATATTTTAATCTTTTTTAATTATATATATTACTAAAATATATTTATATTACACACAATAATTAAATAAATGGTAAATTATATAACTCTTTTTTATATTTTAATAAAAATGCGTATAATATTTATATTGTAAATTTATAAATTTTATACGAAATATTTTCTTTGTTCAAAAATAATGTTTGATTATAATAAATAAAAATATAAATTAAGCAAGTTTTATATATATATAAAAAAGAATGAATACATAAATAATTTATTAATTTTTTATTTTTTATAATTTTTTTAAGATCAATTGTTATACTATAATTTTTATAAAAACTATATAAATTATTTTTATTAAAAAATTTATTTAAAATATTTTTTTTTATTTGTATAAATTTATGTAATTTAAGTTTTTATTTAAAATCTAACTTGTTTAATATTATTTAAATTATTTTACGGTTTTGCAATTTGTAGGTAATACACATATTTTTTTTAACAAAAAATAAAAATAAAACTCAAAAAAAAAAAAAAAAAAAAAAAAAAAACATCTCTCTAAAGACTGTCCAAGAATTGAAATATAATAAGCTTTAATTAACCCCTACACCCCTCCCCTCCCCTCGCCCTCTCTATATATATATCGCATATAGATACAGATACAGATACATACATACCTTCGGAAGCATGCAAGCGCGTGGATAAATATCGAAGAAACGAAACTGCATTCATATATATGTATATATATATATATTTAGTCGCCACTTCATTATTTTTGGCTTCATGGTTTTGATTTCGTCATATCTTTCGATTATTTTGAAACTGCTGCTGTAATTTCCTTCGATTTCTTCTCCTTTACATTCATTCGGTCGTCGGGGAGGAAAATCGACGTGTTCAAAAACCCTTGGCCGAAACCCAATTTATTAGCGGTTTTAATACGATTCGTTGAATAATTACAACAATTAAACTGCTGCGGTACGATCGATTGATGGATGAAGGGATGGGGAAAGCGGCGGACATTGAGGAGTGGATGAAGGAGTTCATGCCCGATGTCGCTGCCGATGCTGCTCCTGCTGCTGGGTAAACGCCAATTTTGATTTCAGACCGTACCGGAGTTGATGCATGCATAGTTTTATCATTTTATTGTATTTCTTCGATCGTGGGATTGTTGATTCGATTTTAGTGTGGGTATACTGTGGTTTTGGTTTGATTTGGTTTATGGGTGATGGGAATTGGTTTTTGAGATGTTTGCATCTTCGAATTTCATATAATTGGATTTCACAATTGAAGGAAATAGGAGAGTCTGTTAATGGAGTGCTTTAGTTTCCAATTTCTATCTCCTTCCATGGCAGTTTCTGGAAAATTCAAGATTCTAGGAAAATTGTTAACTGATGTCCAATTCAATGTGAAGGGATTGTTTTAAAGCCTAATATTTTTTTCAAGTTTTTATCTAATCATGTAAGCGCAGTTGGTTAAGTACAGGTGAGTGGTGATTGTTGTTTATTATTGTGCATAATGTCTGCTTCAAATTCATATGTTCTTTAGCTTTTGATGAGCTATTGAACTCACATTCTCTTAACCTTTCATGGCTTAGCCATTAGGGCATCAATTGTTGAGGATCATTCAGTTTCTAATTTAATAATTTGTTCTACAAGTAGTTTATGAGCTCCAAGTTGGAAAATAACAATAGTGAGAATGCAGAATGGGGAGAGGCGCAGTCACAATGCCACCTTCAAATTTAAGTAACTCCAACCAGCAGATTAGGCCGACGAGCTTGGCAGAGAACTATCCAGTGCCTCCGGCAATTACAGTAAGCTTGTTTCCATAAATGATTTTAGTTCATATCTTTTAAGGTGCATCTTTGGTATTGGTATGCTTCTTTTTGTTGATATTAATCTTTTTAGTCTGAGAAAGATTGTCTAGCTATCTCTCCATGTGGAGACTTTAATAATTCAAAGTTGGAGGCAATAGAGAATAATCTGTCAAACTATACTAATTTAAGATAGTTTCCAAAAGACAATAGTGATTCAATGGTGAGTTTTCTTAAATATTCCAAAGTAGCAATCTTTGTTACCTTCTATAAACTGTTCTTTATATTTCACTATGAAGAAGTTGCACAGTAAGTTCCCTAGTTTTACCATATGGATTCAAGAGCTGTCATTAGTGTAATTTTCATAATGAAGGCTAAAGTCCATGTAATGGGATGAAAAGCTTGTTGGTCAAAGTTTTTATGGAAAGTTTTTACCAAATGAATATGGATTTGCCTCATGGTCATTGTCTGACTTGTTAGTACAAAGACACCTGCTTGCAGTACCATACATGTCCTAAAACAGCAAGGCAGTGAGATAAATAAACTACCTCTATGCTTTATTTATTTATTATGGCAAATTTCATTAAATGTTTGTATCCATTATATCCTCTCAATTTGAACATTCACTAATTTCACTTTACATTTGTCACTTTCAGACAAATAATAGTCCTGGCATGTGGCAACATTCCCAGCGTCCTCTAGGTATGAAAAACTACACCTTACATTTGAAAAGTGGACATGTGTTGATCCTTTGCGTCTATAAGATTCATTTATTTATGTTTTCATGCATATGTATATCCAGCAATTTATAGTAATGTCATTCTGTAGAATTTGATGCTTTCCTGTCTAATCCTATCCTTAAAAAGATGCTGTAAGTATTCATTTGCTTATGTATTTACTAAGAATGAACAACATTGTTCAGCACACTCCAGCCAGTAGATTTGTTTATTCAATTTCGCAGTTATATATAGACTAGGAGTTGGTCCAGCTTTCGTTAGCTTAATTGTGATGTATAAAGTTAGGAATTTTAGATTTTCATGATTGTATGATAGTCATCTGCATCTTCATATTCTTTTTTATGAGGGAAATTAACAGTAAGAACATTCAACTTCAGGGCTCCAACGATGTCTTGCTTCATTATAGTTTCATTTGTTCTGCCTTATGTTTGCACCAACACACCCCACAAACTTCTTGCCTCACCTCAGAAACACTGACCGGTATGCATCATTTCGAGGAAAGTATCAATAATTGAACAAAACTTTTGTGCTTGTGTGTTACAGATGGCCCAAATAATCCAGTTAGACAAAACATGACGAGTAACTTGCCTGCCTTATTCGAAGAATTCTCTCAGAGTCAGGCTTCACGCAACATGATCTCAAAACTACACCAGCAGCAACAATTGCAAAATCAAGTATTGGGGCAAGTAGCTGAGAGGCCTAACATGTATCAGTTTCGGGTTCCATCCAATCCCTATGCAAATAATCTTAGGCAACACCCCCAGGTAACATATTGTGCATTATATGTAGTCTTTCTAAGCAATATTCTACGGGAGGTTAGCAAAATTCTCATCACTCCCCCCTTGTACAGGGGAAGCATACACAACTTTTATGGTTCTGCTTTGAGTTACTTGCAATCATTTAGTTTACCAGCTTCAAAGAAGAAACTAATCTCTTGTAATACTGCAGCAGCAGACATCTGTTGGAGGTTATGCAACTCCTCATATCAATGCTGTTCAACAGACTGACCAAACAACACTGCAGAAATGCTTGGAGCAAAGAGGGTACATAGCGGAATCCATGCATCCAAGAATACCGATGCCTGCTTTTCATCAGTCTCAGAATCTTGCACTGATCAATCAAATGAAAGCGGGAAATCAGTCACAAACTATGCATCTTGGACAGTCACAAGGTACTTTGGACTCACAGAGACTATGATTTTGTATTTTTGTGGTTCCTATTAATAATAATAAGAAGAAGAAAACAGCGATGTTAGAAGAGATCAAATAGACAGGTCAAAAGAATCCTTGAACATCTGTTTTACGAAATAAGCTAATGACTAAACTTATGTCTTTGTTTGTCATTATTAGAAATTTAGAAGGCATGCGTTGATTACTTCTATAGACCTGTTGAAACTGATTCTGAAGCTTAATCTGGTTTGTATGGAATGTATATTGATAAAAGTATTGGTGTTCTTTTCTGAAACCAAGACTAAGTGAAAGGGTGTATGTTGTAGACTGGTAGCTACTAGTTTCTAACTTTTTATAAATAAATAAACTCATCTAAAACGAGAGTGAGTGAGGAAGATAGAGTGAGATTCAGAATCAAGTTTACTTTTTATGATACAAGTATTTGGTTAGATAATCCAATCACTTATGATTATTTAAGATCTGTTATGACAAAACTAAAGATAATAGACAAGTTAGAAATTATGAATGATTCTTGTGTATCTAAGTTTCAAACTCCATCCCACGAGAGCCGACAAGTTTCAAGAATATGTTTAATTGTGTTAAACAGAAGTTCTATTTGCTTTGAACTTAGGTACCTTTGTTTGCTGCTTTTGGCATTCTTCTATCATTGTACTATAACTGGTAGTTTGGTTTCCTTATATGCCTTTCATATCTTGTTCCTAATTATTTCTATTGTATTTTTTTCATTTAGTTGTGTCTACTACACTATGAGTTGAACTTCTGCACTTTGATTAATTCAACAAATTTTCTTTCAAAGCTGTATCAGAAACCAATTCGCCAGCTGACTTGGCAAATCTGGATTGGATTAATCAAGCATTTCAGAAGGTAATGCCATTTATTTTAACAATTTTTTCTTGAACATTCATGGTGTTATATGTATAAATCTCTTTTGCTTGACCGCCCAAATTTGAAAATACACCTAGTCTTTTCACATTGTTGTGCTGTTTATATTGATCTTCTTCGGCCCTATTTCTATTTCTATATCTTACAAATTTTTGGCTATTGCTTTTTGAATGTCCATATCAGTAAATGTATAAACCTCCTAGAATTTTCCCACAGCTTCTGCAGATTAAGGACACATATTTGCCTGATGTGATCATGCTGTACAAGAAGTCGAGAGAAGAGAGACCCCGGGTTTGAGCATTTTGCAGCATTTACATTTATGATTTCTGTATGCCTCAATCTTTATCGAAACAAATCTTTGCCAGGCTACTGCTGCAGAAATCAGTAGATATGAAAAGACGAAAAATTTTGCTGAGAAGCTGTACAAGTTTATGAATCTGTCAAAAAATGAACTCTTAAACTACCGAAAAGATAAGGTGTTCCAAATGCTGGACGATGCAGTAAAGCAGTGCATGCAAATTCGAGCTATGTTTTCTAATGGAAAGCCGGCTCAACAAGCTGAGTCGTCAAACAGTCAGTTGGAAGCACCTCAGATGCAGCAAAGGGAAAACTATTATCAATTCAATTGTCCACCAGCAACCTTACAACAGCAGCAGCAGCAGCAATCTTTAAGGCAAACTGGAGCTTTGAACTTGCCAGAAAGCTCAGTGAATTCACCGAAGGTCGATGCTCCATCAATGGCAAATGCCATTCAGTATGGTAATACAATGCGAACCGCGGCACAAAAGTGGGGATCACATGGAAATATGGTGCCATCGCCTACTCAGAAGAGCTTCGATCAGCGATCACTTAGAATGTTACTCCATCCTCCAGATAGCGGCACTGCTCAGCACATGAACATGGGCACTCCACACCAGCAGATGATCCCCTCGCCGAGGAATGTTTACAGCTCGTTGGATTACTCTGTTAACCCTATGGCTCCGGCAATGATACCGGTCTCTCCGCAGAATAAGCAACAGGATCATGCAATGAAGAGGCAGAAAATGAAACAACCAGCGCAGCAGTTGCCCCCTGATAAAAATAAGCAGCAGATGTTGCAGAAAAGGAACGAAGATACTAATTTGAGACGTATGGTGGGATTCAATCAGAAAATGTCGCCCCTTGCGCCGCCATCGTGCTCTTCCCCTTATGCTGGTTCTCCTCAGAATTCACAGCAATCTTCCTCACAGCTTGTGCAGAAGGAGTTATCATCGAAGCTTTCAAAATCTGGAACTCCCCCGCTATCTACCTCGCCGTCTGCATTTCCATCTCCCTTGACTCCTTCATCGGCACCAGCAGATTATGTCAAGAGTCCACTGAACGTTGAAGAAAGTAGCAAATTGCCGAAAACTTCTGTGGCGCCATCGCAGCCCCAGATGCAAGATGCGAATCAAAAGCAACTTGTTGCTGACTCTCAAGGGCCATCGAAATCTTGCCTGCAGACAGAACCTGCTAGTCGGGATGACCAGCAGCCGTGTGCCAAACGAGAGCCATTCCAGCGCTTGGTTGAAGCGGTATGTTATGTTCCTTATGAGTTCATCTTGTCATTTGAAGCATCACCTTGATCCATTAACCACAGATGTTTATTGTATTTACTGAAACTCCTTCTGCCTGTGTTTTGAAGGTGAAGTCGATATCATCCACAGCAATGAACGCCTCGTTGCAGGATTTCATCAGTGTTGCCAGATTAAACGATAGAATGACCAAATTTCCCAAGGGCAGTCCTCCAAAAGTCATCTGTCATGATTTAGCGGCCAACATTGGAGATTCTGAAAACGAGAATATCGTACCGGATAATAATACAGGCATAAACTCCAGAATGATCCGTCAACTTGAAACCATTATTCCGAACAATCTCACAAGTGAAACAGAGTACTCTGCCAGTAGGGCAACAAAGAAGTTCAAGACAGAGGTATCATTATTCAGCTCATATCTTAATACATTCCGTAACTTTATGAACATCGATCTGCATCTTTTATGCATTGTTTTTTTCACATCTTAATACATTTCAATTCATCGTTTCAGCCTACCAACCCTCTCTTACTAGAGATCAAAGAGGTCAATCACAAGTTTTTCAATGTGGTCGTGGATATTATAGACAAGGACGACGTTTCCATGACAGGATTCAACAAAGGAACTCTCCTTAGATGTTCATACATTCCCATGGGACTTAGAAACACAGAGGTGCCCAACGCATCGAAACAAATGGTAACGACACTAATGACCTTCAGTTCTTCTGAAAATCTCCATTCATTGAAGTTTTTTCCTATAAACTCTTTTTTACTGCTCTCAGTTTCCTACCCTAGTCCTGGAACTGATTGTTGATGTCGATTATCCCTCCTCCTCTCCAACCATACTCGATCCCAAACCTCCTAGTTTCAGGTGAGAACTACAAGACACAGCTCAAGTATATGTATATATCTATATATGTGTGTGTGTGCAAATCCATCTACATCTACACTAGGATACCTGTTTTTCGGATATGCAGTGAACCTGAGGAGAAAGACCTGTGGGAGAAAGCAAGATCAAAGCTCGGCTATTTACTAAGAAAGCTTCATGAGCCGATATCACTCAAACAGATGGTGGAAGCATGGAATGTTAGCACACACGAAGTATTCCTAGAGTTTGCCGAGCAAATGGGGGGCGGTAGCTTCTCTACAAACTATGGCAAGTGGGAAGAGTACGTGCTCGCTATCTAATTATATTGCACGCGTAAATAAAAGCTCATTCTTCGATGAAATCACCATAAGATGTACAGTTAGAGCTCAGATAGGATATTGAACAGCAGATAATTTTCACCTCTGCTAGATCTTCATCACCACAACACCGGAATGAACATCCATTAATGCTCTGCTGTATAATTCAACGCTTTTGTTTCGATATATGATTATGTACCGTTGTAGAGCTGTCGCGCTTACTTTCTTGAGATGTTTTGCTACACAACTACCTGTGCTTGAAATGCAGCACAGATGTCTAAGAAGATAAATGGAGGTCCATTTAGTTGCTGCATATCTAGAACATATTTCTCTCCACTTGCTTTGTAGAGCTGGTAAGGTTTACGACATCGGTAAGAATCGTGAAAACATGACATTCGAAGACAGGGCAAGAAGAAACGATTGAAAAAACTAACCTGTATTTCGAATTTGATTGCATCGACTGCAGATGGAGGCAACCACAGACACTTCATATTGTAGTGTCCTATTCTCTTCCATCTCACATTCAAGCCATGGAAAACTTTCAGGACATCCGACATTGTCTCGTTCGGAGATGCCAGGGACTTCGAGTATCGTTTCAAACGATTAAAAGTGAGTGAGGAAGTCGAAGTTTCATTATAAAGTAAATAATAACAGAAGTTTGCTTGCCTTGAAGCCAAGAGTCCAGTTGTTCGATCCCGGAAGAACTGGTGGAGTCGCAGTCAATGTAGTCACCATCTGCGCAGCATCGGAATGTCCCTATTTCGAACACATGTCAGTGAACGATGTCCGGAGAAGACAAGAAAAATGAAGACATACTCGATTCTCTTTGATTGGGTTATCGAGCTGCATTCCTTGTTCGCGAGAGAAGCTATGCAACAACATAGAGTATGCGACCGTTGCCTGTAATGCCAGAAACATAGTCGACTCAGTACAATGTCGACAGAACCGACGGGAGATTGATAGCCACAGGTAGTTTACCTCATTGTGCAGATGATTCTGTATCGACACAATGACTTCGCGGCCGTCGAATCCCATCCGAACCATCTCCTTCACAGCATCGATTTCAATCTTTTCGCCACAACAATGAAACGTTACTCTCGATGAAAAGAAAGAAGGCGAAGAGACAGGGATATCGTTACTTACCTTCTCTGTTCCTCCCGAAGCATTCGGAGACGACATAGAAATGTACCGGGGAAGCTGTCGACGGAACCAAGGATGCCGGCGAATTTCAGGGATCGATATACGCCTCATGGGATCGACCACGAGTATCCTCGAAATCAAATCCCGTCCGCTCTCCGATACGTGATTCGCAGCTGGGTATACTCCGTTCTACATTCGACGAAACGTGAAGCTCCGAAACAAAGACAAAAAGCACTAAGAAATCGTCGCTTCAACTACCTTTATTTTGGCATATAAGCCCGGGATATTGTCGTCGTCGAAGGGAAGGCGACCGCACAGCAATGCGTATAGAATAACTCCGCAGCTCCACACGTCTACTTCCGGACCGGCGTACAATCGTCGAGAGATGAGCTATCAATATCGAGAATAGTCGAGGTTAGCGTTGTCGACGGAGATTGATTTAGTTTACGGAAGTTAGTCGAACCTCGGGCGCAGCATAGTTTGGGCTCCCGCAGCACGTCTTGAGGAAATGCCCGTCGCGCATGATGTTTCCGAGCCCGAAATCTGCGATCTTGACGTTGCGATCGGAGTCGAGGAGGAGGTTTTCCGGCTTGAGGTCGCGGTGGACCACCAGGTGTCGGTGGCAGTATTCGACGCCGGAGATTATCTGTTCCGGACATGGGGTGAGATACTTTCCGGATTACGAACAACCTTAAAAGGCTCGATTTAGGCGAACCTGTTGGAAAAAATGGCGAGCCTCATCCTCGTGCAGCTTCCCGTTCTCCGTCAGGTAATAGAACAGTTCGCCGGAATCCATGTACTCCATGACGACATAAACGTTCGCCGGAGTGTCGACGACCTCGAACAGGCGAACGATGTGGGGATGGAAGAGCTGTCGCATTATGTCGATTTCTTTCCTAACTGATATCGGAATTTTCGACGGGAACAACGTTTTAACCATCGTATGTTGCGAAGGAATTAGGACAAGAGCGAGTTGTTGTACCTTTCTGCGCTTCGTATTCATCGATGGATTGGCGCTCGAGTATCTTTATCGCAACCTTAATCCCTGTCAAGGTGTGGACAGCTAGCTTCACTTTCCCAAATGCGCCATGGCCGAGAGTCTTTCCGAGCTTGTAGCGCGGTAACATGGCCTTCTTACAACTCGAGGCACTCATCCCGTTGCTCGACTCCATCTTCGAGCCGGGAAAATTTTGAAATTAGTTTCGTGTTAGGTGCAAGATCACAGACCCTCAAAGGGAAAACTTACAATTTTAGTACGTCAAAAAATCAAACGGTGAGACATTCTTCGCTTAAGTGTTATAACCTCAACTAGAATAAGTTTCGACAAGCTCTCATATAGTCTTAGTTAGCTTTACTTTACCCAAACTAGACTCGAATCCCATTGCCTCCTTCGACAAAGACAATAATGTTGCTTCTGTGCAACATTAATTTTTTTTTTCTTCAAACAGAGCTCTAATACCACAGAGCTCTAATACCACTTGTTAGAATATTTTTATTTCTGACATATACTGAGGCGAATGTGCACATATTTGAAAATTTATTACCAAATTATCAAAATCCGCAATTTAAGTTAGTTTTTTTTTTGTCTTAAAATCAATCAACTTCTACATATCATCTAAAATAATAATACGGTACATAACTCTATTGTAATATCAAACATGTAGAATATGTTCACTTGATGTTATAAAAAAATACACAAAAATAAAGAAAAACACAAAACATCCATATAATATTGTTAGTATTCTCTATATCTCATCATACAAAAATACCTATTTTTCATCGAATAAATAAAGAGAATCCTCAAATTTGAAGTAAGGAGGTTCATGTAATAAACAACAAGAACAAAGAACATCATCAATCTGCCAATAGTTTCATTTAATTAGGGTTTGTAGAAAACAAAATATATATATATATATATGTGTGTGTGTGTGTGACATACCTTAATTAATCAAGAACAATCAAACTAGTTAATACGACACAATCATCATCACAATAAAACAAATCAACAACTCTCTTCTTCTGGTTCAAGAATCAGAAGGACCATCAAGAACTCTAAAATCACTTCCCAGTAACTGCATATATATATTATTTCTATACAATACCCACATATATATATATAGAGAGAGAGAGAGAGAGAGAACTGTTCTACAAATACTTACCTAGTGGGGGGGAGAGAGAGAGAGAATTAAGCGTAGAAGTTCAGCAGGAGGGAGAGGATACAAAGATCTTTTATTTATTAGTATTAGTGTGATGGCATTTTAATTCGTGTATAAATAAATAGTAATGTTTGTGGGTTCAGACAACACAAAGCATTCCATTCAAACCCCACTTTCTAACAATATTTAATATATATACTGAAAGAAAGCTACAAAACTTATTGGTTGCAACGTTCAAAAAACAACCAAAATTTCTTATTCTTTCTATGTATTGTACTTATTATTATCTATATTAAATATTTTATCAGAAGATAATACTTAAAAAGGGTTCGAACTCCAAAAGTCTCAATTCATCTCTCACTAGTGTAATTTTTTAGTTGAATCTGAAATTTACCCATTAAACACTTTTAATAAAATAAAATAAAAATTAAAAAGGTACTAAAATCAATCAATATAATTTTAAACAAATAACATATTATGTTATTTTATGATATCAAAGATGTTCTTATGAAGTTTGAAAATTTTTTATTTTAATTTAATATTAAGATAATATATAATAAGATATTTTATAAATATATATATAATTTTTTTAAAACAAAAAATTTAAATACTAAAAAAAAACATACTATTGTATTTTACATTAATAATATATATTAATATATTATTATTATATAATGATATCAATTCATATGAAATTATGAATATAGACCTTATATATGTCATGAGCATCAAAACCCCAAAATTCAATAAAATTGATTGTTAGAATTTTCCTTACAAATAATTTATAAACATATTACATACTATATAACACCATTTCTTTTAAATTATATAAATAAAAATACATCCAAAACACAATTTCATATGAACCCCTTATAATATGATTAATTCTCCAACTAGTACCTCTAAAAATAAAAAATAAATTTAAACCCTTCTTCTTCAGCCGGATGTATTCAGTTTCCCCTCCAACGAGGGTTCTTGAATGGACGCCATTACTACAAGACTGCTCCATCTCTCAAAATCCTTGAACAAATTGAGATCTTTGAAACCGATTCAAGTTCTTCATCAGAAAGCGATCTCTTTCGGATTGCAACACAACGTAGCCCTGTGCAAGAACCTAATAAATCTCTACATTTCCCGCGGCGACTATCAATCCGCGAAATTGATTTTTCAAGGAGTACAGAATCCATCAAACATCACGCTATGGAACGCGTTGATCGCAGCATACGTGAAGAACGCAATGTTCCAAGAGGCTCTGTCGCTATTCGAGAAATTACTGCGTTTTCCAAATCTGAAACCAGACAGTTACACGTACCCGAGCTTGTTGAAGGCCTGCGGAGGTTTGGGGAGAACAGATTACGGGGAGATGAACCATTCTTTGTTGATGAAATTAGGGTTCATGTCGGATGTGGTAATCGCGAGTTCATTGATCGGAATGTACGCCAAATGTGGTATGTTTATATCTGCAGTGAAGGTGTTCGACGAAATGCCTGAAAGGGATTTAGCTTGTTGGAATAATGTGATCACTTGTTATTATCAGAGTGGGCAATGGAAGAAGGCATTGGAGTATTTTGATAAGATGAGGAGCTATGGATTGAGGCCCGATTCTGTCTCCTATACCGTCGCGATTTCGTCGTGCGGTCGCCTCATCGATTTGGAAAGAGGCGAAAAAATTCACGATGAAGCGCGCCGGACCGGTCTTGCGATGGATAGTTACGTTAGCGCCGCACTCGTCGATATGTTTGGGAAATGTGGCGCCTTAAAGAAGGCGAAGGAAGTTTTCGACGAAATAAGGGACAAGAGCTTAGTTTCTTGGAATGCCGTGATCGGTGGGTATAGTCTAGTCGGGGATACTAATTCATGTATTCGACTTTTTGAGAAAATGGTCGGGGAAAGGGTTCGACCAAGTTCGACGACAATAAGTAGCTTGTTAATGGCGTGCGCTAAATCAGCAAATCTCCGGGCCGGGAAGTTTATTCACGGATATATAACGAGGAGTAATGTCGCGAGCGATATCTTCCTCGAAAGCTCGCTAATCGACATGTATGTTAAATGTGGACGTGTTTTGACAGCGGAGATTATCTTCAATCGAATGGCGAAATCGAATATCGTCGCTTGGAATGTTATGATTTCGGGCTATGTAACTGCAGGCTGTTACTTCGAGGCGCTTCGTACGTTTGACGACATGCGGAAATCTGGCGTAAAACCTGATGCAATAACGTTCACGAGCGCTTTGTCGGCTTGTTCGCAGCTGGCTGCGTTGGAGCGAGGTAGAGAGCTCCACGAGTGCATAGTCGAAAATAGGTTGGATTCGAACGAAATATTAGCCGGATCCCTTCTTGATATGTATGCGAAATGCGGCGCCGTGGAAGAAGCCGAGAGTGTATTTAATCGGTTGTCAACAAGAGATGTAGTTTCGTGGACTTCGATGATCGTATCCTACGGCTCGCACGGTCGAGCGCCCGAAGCTTTGAAGCTTTTCGAGGATATGTTGCGAGTGCGTGTACCACCGGATAGAGTTACGTTTCTCGCAGTAATTTCGGCTTGCAGCCACGCCGGACTAGTCGACGAGGGGCGGCGATGTTTTAAATTAATGGTAAATGATTATGGAATTCGACCTTCGGTTGCGGAGTATTCGTGTCTTATCGATCTTCTCGGGCGTGCTGGGAGGTTAATCGAAGCTTACGACATTCTCCGGAAGAATGCTGACATTAAAGACGACGTTGAGCTGTTGAGTACGCTGTTTGCTGTGTGCGGTTTGCACGGGGAGCTCGAGTTGGGGGAGAAAATTGCGAAACTTATTATCGAGAAGGATCCGGACGATCATTCGACTTACGTTGGTCTTGAAAAGATGTACGCCGGCAAGAAGAAATGGGACAAGGTGCGCGAGATCCGATTCAAAATGAAAGAATTCGGCTTGAAGAAGAATCCGGGATGTAGCTGGATTGAAATCGACGAGACAATCCGATCCTTCGTAGCCGAGGATCGAACATTCGCGCAACGAGAAGACATCTACGGCTGCTTGTCGATTCTATATAACGACATGGAGAACGACGAAATGGAAGCGCAAGAGGAGGCGTAGTCGAACAAATGCGTCGAAAAGTTTAGACAGCAGTGATCTTCACAAAGCCTTCTTGTTCGAGAGACGGCACAAACAAGCGAAGAAGATGCCAGACGCGCGGAGGTAATTAACTTTTTACCGGCGCGAAATTTGATCTTCTCGTAACCTCATATTCGTATAGCTCAAATTACACTAGATTGATTTAAGCTAACAATCGATTATTTTGTTCGATGAAGCTTCGGTAGATGCATCAAGTCTATCAAATCATCGCTCTCGAAAGGAACAGGAACTATGCCGCCGTGTGTTTGTTTGGCCGTTTGAATTTTGATTTGAGATTTAAATAGTAAAAATTTTGAATCGATAGATAGTTAAATGATGTGATATAAATTTTTAATTGATGTGACATTTGAATGTAAAACTGATTTTTAGTATAATATAAAAAATTGAAATATTAATGTTTGATTTGATATTTTTTAAATTTTTTTTTTTTATAAATAGTAGATTTTCCAGAAAATTCTATAGGCGAACACACCCTAAGATGTTGAGACCTTATCACTCTTCGATTAGATTAGATTAGACGGTGGTTAGTGTGGTTCAGTGCAACCACACGTAATAACAGACAACATATGATATAACCGCACATAAAATAGGAAGCATGATACAAATGCAACACTAGAATTAATGACACATGACATAGTCCAACACATCGCCTAAGTTGTTACTCGAGTCGAATCAAACCTTAATTAGAGCCAACTCGAGAAACTACTTCTCTACTCTGAACTCGACTTTGTTATTATAGTTAACGAGACAAACTTTCAAGTAGCTCGAATACCGTAACAACTCTACATTGTATAAGAAACTTTATACTTCCTATAGGCGTGTAAGAGATTAGAAACGAAAACAAAAAGTTCTTAAATTATCGTTGTCCCCTTCTCGGAGAGGAGATCTTACAATGTATCCATACCATCGCGGGCCTGTCACCTACGTGACTTTGACCCCGATGCATTTAGCCACCTATATACAAGAACACGATAAATTACTTATATATGTACTCGCTTGGCGAGGCATGCCCTTCCGGCATCAAAATTCATTCCTTCGATTTTGTAATGCTCCTTTGTACGGCTACACCATTTGTAGAAGAACTTAGTTATTACTTAGGCAGCATGTTGCCCCCAAAAAAATGACGATTCTCCCTTTCTCTCGGCTGCTACAAAAGCAATACAATTAGTAGGAATGTCGGGAGGCTCCAACCCCGTACATTGGAAAAGGTAGTTGCCGAGGCTGCAAAAAAAACACGGGGATTCATGTGTATAGCTAGGAAATTAAAGAAAGAAACGAGCGTAAATTATCTATTTGTTCTCTTTGAGATTCTTCTTCGATTCTATAGAAATATAATATTTTCTCTCACAAAATATCATATACGAAATGCTGGCACAATTTATTGCATAATTCACCACAATAACCAAAATGAAGCATATAATCTCGACATTGGAATACAACGTATCGAGATTATATGCATATTTTTGGTTAACACAGCGGTGAATTATGCCACGTTTAAACATAAATACTATACTCAGTCGCCATAACACATTTTGATCGCACCCTAACCTTATATCATATCAAAACTTCTACACCTAGCATGCCAAAAAATCGAAATTTGTGTTTAAATGAGAAAATTCGAAATGGATTTTATGTCAATTTACCTAAACTGTCGAGAAAAGCATCGTATACTCACATGGAGATGGTGCCGGTGAAGCCCTTCGCATTGCAACCGGTGGCCTCACTTGAATTCGATCTTTTGATCGATGGCTTGCTGCAGGAACCGGAGACACTTTCGGGGGACGGGAAGCCGGGGCGTAAACCGGAGCAGCATGAAAATGCTTATCGTGGTTGCGTGGAAACTGGTAACTATGTTCGAAAGGGCAAGGTGGCGGCGCTCCGGGACTATCCCGTCCCGGAGCAGGCAACGGCGACGGAGGATGGTTCGGAGCGAGACGGGTACCACGGTGCTGAGCTGGCGGCAGAGTCGACGGGGAAGGCGACGGCAATGGCGACGGAGACAGAGACGAACTATTTCCACCGCCGCCGAGGGAGTGTTGGAGTATCGACGAAAGCTGGACTTGCTTGACCCGTCCGAACACGCTGTTATTCAGACCGAGATTCTTACCGTACGAGTCGGTGATCGTTTGCGCCAATTGCTTTAGCCTCGTCTTCGACGGATTAATCCCCACAGCTAAAAGAACTTGCGACTGGACAGTCGTGGGCGGAGCGACGGACGAGCCCCTCCGATTCGTCAGCCGTATGTACAAGTTCTGCGCAGCGGGAAACAAGAGTTTTAGCTCGTTTCGAGACACGACGAAACGTCGAAATGACAACGTCCTCATACCTCGTACGGCGAGAGAATCAACCCGCTCTTGAGCTCGCTCCGGAGCACGTCGAAATTGTCGAGTATCTCGTCGATTGAGGAATTCAGCGTGAAGTTGAAAAGTATCTGTACGTTTTGGACGAGGAACGCCTTCTGGTCAGGGATTGCCGTGATCCCTCCGCGGAACTTAAGAACCTCGAAGGAAAACGGCATCCCAAACAACGACGAACCCAACCGGAGAAACGACTGGCGGGTGATCAAAAACGTAAACGACGCTCGGATTAGACTTTGCGCCGTCTCGTCTGCTTCCACTGCAAACACAACCTTCGTAACATTTGGTCGAACCGAAGCTGATTCTAGCGATATTATCTCCACCTATCAGAGAAAAAAAAGATCGGATCATCGAAACGTCGAACCACAAGCTATCATCAACAATGCAATCGAAGATCGAATCGAGTGACTACTTTAACCGTCGAGAAGCTCATTTCGTCGAAGATGTCGCCTTCGAGTTGAAGGATACGGTCTTCCAATGTCGACGCCGGCTGTCGCAGCATAAAGCTCGCCACGATGTCGCGACCTGGCCGGAGTTCGAATGCCGGTGTTACTACCATCGTAGAAGAATCAAAAGATACGAAATGTGTGTTCTTTTTTAAATTTATTATTCATAATAAAAATAAAAAAAATATATCTCAAAAAATATCGTATGAATCATTTATTTTTTATTTTTATATTATAATATTAAAAAATAATTTTACATTAAAAATCTTACATTATTTCTGTTTATATTAAATCATAAATTATTTTAATTCAAATTTTTTAAATATTAAAATTTCAACTCAAACAAGTATTATAAAATTAATATTTTATATTGATTGAATCCGTAAAAATATATCTTTTATTATTAATTCAGCTCAAAATAACAAAAATATTCATTTTATATTATTTTTTAACCGAGATCTTATAACAATAGAAATTAACAAAAACATACAAATTATGGCTCTCTATAATATTTATCGTAATATATATCGATTTTCTATAACAAAAATACATTTTAAAAAAATAATAAATAAGTGTAGAACACTGATCATATCTGCAGAAGCCCTAAATTGATCCAACAATAGGGATATTAATCTCCAAAATCATCAGGAATGAATTCGAATCCAAAATTGTCGAAAAAGATAGGAAATTGATGGAGAATCGGAGGGGGTTATGAATAAACTACCTGCGTAATCGAGATCCAGAGCTTTCTGATATTCATCGGGGTGGAAAAATGGCAGCCAAAAGACAGCAGAAAGAGTAACTGCAACAGCAAGCAACAGAACGAAAGCACATCTGAAATCCACAAAATTATGAACCCTAATTTTCCAGGCCGGCCATCCCCGGGTTGTACCCTGCGCATTAGATGCTGTACTCGGTAAGCCTTCGTCATCCTCCGTCTTCCCCATTGCAACAATGCGGGTGCTGTTCTTCTGAGGGTTCTACTTTTTGCCATAACTGATTTGGTGGGGGCGAAGAAGGGGATCCATATAAAATTGAAAAAAAAAAAAAAAAAATCGCGAAAACTGTTGGGGGAAGAAGATTGGAGCAATAATTGTGGTGAATTGGAAATGGCGATGGAATGAATTTGAATTGAAATTATTTTTGTTGGTGGGTGGGTGGGTGGGTTGGGATGGTAATGATGGCGATTTGAAGTTGCGTTTCGACTTTTTTGAGCTAAATGGGAATGATCGATGATGAAGTGGGAAGTCAGTTAGGAAACGAATTATAATCCACAGTTGAATTTACAGTTGGTCTGTTCTCTTCTGTTCTGCTCTCAATCTGAAGATTAAAGTGAAAACAAACGCCATTTTTGCTTTTGGAAGTTTCTTCGAACAAGAAAGTTGACTCAACAGAAGCGTGATGGTGAGTGTATTTTTTATCTGTTTTTATTTCCCTTTTATATTCAAATAAATTAGTATAAATTAATAATAAACAATGACAGAGTGTCTTTATTTATTTATTTATTTTTATTTTATTATTTTTTCTTATATTATACACTATTGCATACTTTATTATTTAAATATCTAGTGTTTATAGTATATGATAAATTAGAGTTTATTTGTTCAATATTTGTTATTTGAAGTATTTTTACTTGAGTTAAAAAAAATTGTATGAATAATATAAAAATGATATTTTGGGAAAAAATAAATCATAGTATATTATATATATTGATACTAGTATAAAAAAAATCATTGGACAAACAGGCCAAGTGTATAATTTTTTGGAGATTATTTTTTAAACAAGTAATTATAATGTAATATTTGGTACGAATCGATATGATATTTTTATTTATTTTTTTTAAAAAAATGTGATAGTTAAACAGTAAAAAAAATGAAATAAAATTTTTAAAAAATAAAACTAATAAGATTAACAACTAATAGAATTGATAATTAATATTAGTGAAATCTTTAAGATTATACTATAATCAAATTTCAAAAGTAGGAAAAATATTGATATTTGGAGTTATATTAAACTATACAAAAAAACACAAAAATAAAAAGAAAAAGAAAAGGTTGAATAATCATATAATGTGTTTTGGTTTGCTAAATGTCACAATTAATTTAAAAACTTACAAAATACAATTAGGTGAGTTATATCTTCCTTTCATTTGAAAATAAATAAATAAAAATCTATATGTGATAAATTGTGTAATAAATGGTGTTATTATATAGTCCCACGAAAAGGTAGTTGGCATGTTGCCATTTCAATTTATTGTCCTAATAATAATAATAATAACTACCATAAATAAATTTTCATTTGTACAATTTTTAAATTTATAACCATAATAATTAATAGTTTTCATGCATTATAGATTGTGGACAACTTTGTCAATAAATTTCTTGCCCCATTATATATATGGATTTGTTCCCTTTATATAGGTATCCTTTTGGGATAGATGTTTTTTGTTTTTATAATTTGATATTGGAAATTGTGTTAATAATATAAAAAATAAAATATTGTATTAAATTATTAATTTTTTGTGATAAGGTAAAATATATAATTTTTTTGGAAGTAGAATAAAATGTAGTATTATATATGTTGTATCAATGCGTAAATTATGTTTTTTTAATAATATTTGTGAAGAATTGTTCTACTTAAAAATACTAGGTGAACAATAATAATGTGTTTTTTTGAAAATAAATTTGATGAAAAAAAAAAAGGAGGATTTCAATTCACAGTGGCTTACATGTTGGTGCATGTAATTGGCATCTAGTAAATATCAGTTTTGAAGTTTTAAAAATATTAAAAAATATAAAAAAAATAATTTGATATTTGATATAATATTTTGTAAATATATATTAAATATGATATTTAAATATATATATATATTATCAATAAATAGCATCACAATTTAAAAATATATATGTAAATAGAACATTGGATTTTCCTTCCTTAAGTTTTAACATTTTGGATAACTTTAGAGATAGTAAAAATTTGCTATTGATTTTCTGTTTCATGTGAATTTTAGATTTAGATTTTGAATAATAAAAAATATAAATTTCAATAATTATTTAATTTGATATAAATATATATAAATCATTTATTTTGAATATAAAATTTAATATAATATCATATAAAAATAAAATAATAAATATTTAATTAATATTTTGAAAATATTATTATAAAATATCACATCGAATATATGTTTTTAATTTTAAAAAATAAATTTATAGAATATATTACAATCCTGTGATGATGCGAGAACCCGCAGGTGACCTAAGACATCGGGGGTGGTCATGAGTTCAAACCTTTACACCACTAAGCTATCCCTTACGGGACCATAGTATATATTTATAATTGTAAACGTAGAATCTTTTAATCATTACTACACAAATGTCAACATTAATAAAATATAGTATTTATTTATTAATAAATTTAAAAATATATCGATTTATATTTGCATTCATTTTTAGTTGTCTTGTAAGTTTCTTGTTGGTGTCTCTCTAATGATTATTTTTATTGGGCATTTGGGATAAAATGTTTATTTATTTCTTTTGCTTTGAGATCAATTAAAGTGCTAAAGGAGAATACAATGAATGATGATATAATAATTTATTTAAAAAATCTAGAAAAAATATATAGGATTTTTTTTAATTTAAAAATTAAATTTATATTAATTATTTTGTATGATTTTTATTAAATTATTATATTGAAATATTATTTAAATTGAATTTCACAATTAAATCAAAATCAAACACTCTTTAAATAATATTACTTATCTTAAGTTGAAGTTGAATTAAGTTAGACAGGGTTATATGTAATGTTGAGTTTTCCTTTTTCTTACTTTAATATTATTTGGATATAAAATTTTATGATACTCCAATATATATATATATATATATATTTATATAATTGTGATAAGTGCATAATATATATTTCTACAAGAAAGTTGAAATGATTTAACAATTAATAGAAAGTAGTATTGTGGATTTTATTTTATTTTATTTTTTAATATAAGAATATCTTATTACTAAATTGGGATTACATTTACTAAAGTTTAAAATAAATGTAATACAAAATAATATTGTTGTATATACAATGACATAACAATATCTTATTAGTAAACTGGGATTACCTATGAGTTTTATCACAATTTTTTAAAAAATATATTTTTAAGAAAAAAAATTAATATATTATATATTTATTATTTTTACATCAGTTGCACAATTTTTTATATATATAAAAAAATATTTTTTCAAATAAATTCACTAAACAAGAACACTATACACGTTTATTAAAATTTAAAATAAATATGACGGTGAACAATCTAAAAGTAAAATAAATGCATTTAATTATATATTATATTTGTAAAATTATGTTGATTAATGAAATTATGGTCGTCCCTACCCACAATCTAAGAATTTATTTTTTCACTTAGCCCTAATTATTGTGTCTATGTTGTCGCTTATTTTTTGTGTCACATTTTATGTTTTTTTTTTTAAAAAAAAAACGTTACAGATTTTAATTATATTTTAATATTTATAATTTATATTTTATTAATTTTAATTAAAATAATATTAATTTTAATATTAATTTATAATTATCTAACTTGTTTTCTAAATATTTTTATTAATATATTTTTAATTATTTATTAATTATAATTGTGATATGATATGCAAAATGAAGGAAGTATCTTTTTATATCATATTAAAATATATATAATTTATTTAATTATTGCAAAATAATAGTACAAGATGACAATATATTCGAAATCACATATAAGCAAACAATTATTTACGTGCTATTAGTAAATTCTATAAATTTAAAAATATATTATTTAAAATATCAATATTTGTAATCAAATATATACATAACAACCATAACAATAGCAACAATAATAAAATTATTTATTTATTTATTATAATTTAATTAAAGAGTAAATTTCGTATGTCCATAACGTTTATATGATCATTCAATTTTCAAATTAGATCTTTAATTAGGTAAGTTTTAACATATACAGCTAATTAACGTCAATACTAGTAATCTAACGGTGTTAAATTCATTCATGTAATAGATCCAACGGCCGAGGATGCTTGTATCTAACGGTCATATCCTTTATAAAATCTTCACATTTTCTACGGAAGGAGAGAGAGAGAGAGAGAGAGAACTATTCTCCGGTGACCAGACCGGCGAACTACCGTCGATTCCCTCCGCCACCGCCGTCGTCGATTTCCACCATCTTCCATTCTTCCCGTCGGCTGCCGTTTCCGTAGTCGTGCGCTGTTCTTCCTCTCCCCACCAACGACCACGCCGCTGCTGAAATCCTCCTTCGAGTCTGCCGTCGTCCAATCTAGGTCCACAACTTCTTCCAATTCCGACCAGCATCCGCCCTCTACTGCATGCAAATTTCGATTCGAGTTTCTAATACTGTACGTTGGTTCTTGCTTAATCCTTGGTTTCTTACAAGATAATATAATTTCAGGATTTGGAGTGCTTTGAACTCTAACTTGATTGCAACGTTTTCTTGGATTTGATTCCAATATTTCCCAAGGTATAGTGCCAACTCTTGCGCTACTTTGTAATTTTCCTTTTCTCTTTACTTTTTTTCTATACTTGGGAATATGGTTGATTTTGGTTTCTGGCTAATTTTCAATTACAGACAGTGGATTGTGGTTTAATATTTTGTTCCTGAGGGTATCTAGTAGTATCATGTTTATTTATATGCATATTTAACTTTATGCAAATTAATTCTTACAAGACAATGTACATTCAGGTATTGGAGTGCTTTGAACACATCTTTATAACAACGTTTTCTTGGATTTGATTCCAATATTTCCAAAGGTATAGTGACGAATCTTGAGCTAGTTTGTCAATTTTCTTTCTCTGTACTTTTTTCTATGCCTGAGAATATGATTGATTTTGCTTTCTGGCTAATTCTTTGATGTGTTATGCTCCTTTTCACTCTCTTAGAGTTATACGGTTCCTTTCATTATTAAATTCTACTAATCTTAGGAAGAATGTGATAAATTGATCAATTGTGGCTTGGCTGTTGTGATGGGCTTCATTTTGTTTTTTTAAGTACATTTTTTGCTTGGTGATTGATGGAATATATGTTGTCCTTTGAACAGAGCAAGGGCAGGATGAATATGAAAAAGATAGATTTATAGTGGATGATATCGATGAAGAAGAGGGAGAGGAGTAGGATAGAGTTGACAGTGATGAGGAAAGGAAAAAGAAAAATAAAAGGAAATACATAGATGAGTAAAATGTTTTCAAATTGCTATATATTTCACTCACCATAGGGAGTCAGAAAGGAACTATGTTCTTAACGAGGATGACTATGAACTCCTCCAGGAAAGCAATATTTCTGCATCGCCCGGAATTGGTATGTTTCCAGTTACTCATCTCTGTATATGTTTTTATTTATTTATCTATTTGCTTGCTACTTTTACTGTTGCTTATAGGCGACTATTAACTTTGAGTGTTTGTCCTCAGAAAGTAAGAAACCTAAGTGTCTAAAAAAAGGCTCGAAGGGATGCAGAAGAAGGCTCCTCTGGATTCTCAGACGAAGAGGAGTTTGATGGTAGTGGTAAAGGTGGGAGGACAGCTGAGGAGAAGCTTGAGCGCAGCTTGTTTGGGGAATGATGATGGTAAATTTTATTGAAACTATTTTGTTCTATGGGAACTTGGAACAATTATTTACTCTTACTGATCATGCGGTTTCTGTGACAATTGCAGGACAACCTTTTGAAGATATTGCTGGTCGATCTTATTGTTGATGAAGAGGAAGGTGATGAAAATGAAGCCCTTTGAGGTATAGTTTATGCCAGTCACAATTTATTGTCATGGCACTTAATTGATATGTTAATTTTTGAAAATAACCTTTATGCAGGAGGAAGAAAGTCAAGAAGAGCAGGCAGCAACCAGGAATTTCTTCTTGAGGAAGTCCGATAAAGATTTGGTGATGTCGATAAACTTTTGGACAGTAGGAAGTCGTCAGGATTCAGGGATTATTTATTTATATATCTTCCTTTATGTGCATGCATTCCGTTTAGTTGTTAATTGAAAGTTTGGTGGGGATCATCTACATTTGAAGAACTACACCTAAACATGGTATGAAGAAACTACACCTTACATTCAATGTGTTGATATTTTGTGCTTATCAGATGCATTTATTCATGTTTTCATGCAGATCTTTATAGCAATTTATGGTAATGTCTTTTTGATATACAATGAAACCACCAGCACAGCAGTTGCTCCCTGATGTTTCAAGAAAGGAATGAAGATTTCAAAATCTGGAACTCCCCCGAGCTATCCACCTCGCCATCTGCATTTTCCATCTCCGCCGACTCCTTCTTCACCGGCACTGAACCTTGAAGAAAGTAGCGAATTGCCGAAAACTTCTGCTGCACCATCCAGATGCAAGATGCAAACCAGAACCAAGTTGTTGCTGACTCTCAAGGGCCATCGAAATCTTGCCTGCAGACAGAACCTCAAAGTTGGAGTGATAAGCTGTCGTGTGCCAAATGAGAGCCATTCCAGCGTCTGGTTGAAGCGGTATGTAATGTTCCTTACAAGTTCATCTTGTCATCTGAAGCATCACCTTGATTCATTTCTTGTGTGACTTTCACTTTCACTTGATGATTCTTGTGTTTTGAAGGTGAAGTCGATATCATCCACTGCAATGAACGCCTCAAAGGCAGTCCTCCAAGTCATCTGTCATGAAAAGTACAGGCGTAAGGATTCAAGACAGAGGTATCGTTGTGCATATGTGACTTTTGAACCATGATTTCAAACAATTTCACAGCTGAAGCAGAGTGTTATGCCAGCAGGGCAACAAAGAGATTCAAGACAGAGGTATCGTTGTGCATGTGTAACTTTTGAACATCGATCTGCATCTTATAAGTATTGTTTTGTTTATATCTTAATACAGGTCAAAGTGGGTCACTCACAAGCTTATTTAATTACATTGCACGTATAGATAAAAGTTGATTCTTTTTCTATAAAATTATCATAAAATGTACAGTTAGAGCTCAGATAGGGCAAGAAGATAGGGCAACAGATAAGTTTCACCTCTGCTAGAATAAATCGTGTAATGATTCTGTGTTGTACGGATGAATAATTTAACACTTTTGTTTCGAGTTATGATTCGAAGATAGGGCAAGAAGAACCGATTTAAAAACTAACCTGTATTTCGAATTTGATTGTATTCGACTGCAGGCGAAGCAGGCAACCACAGGCATTTGATGTTGTAGTGTCCTATTTTCTTCCATCTCACATTCAATCCATGAAAACTTTCCGGACATCCAACATTGTCTCGTTTGGAGATGCCAGAGAATCTCGATTGGAAAGATGAAAAAATGAGTAAGTTGAAGTTTCATTATAAAGTGTACAGAGCGAAAATAACAGAAGTTTGCTTGCCTTGAAGCCGAGAGTCCAGTTGTTCGATCCCAGAAAAACTGGTGGAGTTGCAGTCGATGTAGTCGCCATCTGCGCAGCCTCGGAATGTCCCTGTTTCGAACAGATGTCAGTATATGATGTCTGAAAGAGACTAGAAAAATGAAGACATACTCGATTCAGAAGAAGGCTCCTCTGGAGGAAGAGGGTGCTGACATTGAGGAGGAGGATGAGATGGTTGATTTTATTGTTGATGAAGAGGAAGTTGATGAAAATGGAGCACTTTGAGGTATAGTTCACGCCTGTCACAATTTGTTGTCGTGGCACTTAAATTGATGTATTAATTTATGAAAGTAAATTGACATAGCTTTATGCAGGAGGAAGAAAATCAAGAAGAGCAGGCAGCGACCAGGAATTCTTCTTCAGGAAGCCCAAGAAATATTTGGTGATGTCATAAACTTTTGGACAGTAGGAAGTCGGGGGATTCAGGGATAGATTTGGTGAAAATGGTGAGAGGAGCCTTGAAGATCAGTTTGACCCCAGCATACTTCCTAAGAAAAATATATGACTGGAAAAGATGAGCACATTAGGGAGATTGACGTCCCTGAAAGGAAACAGGTTTCTTTATTTATATATTTTCCTTTAAGTGCATGCAGTCCTGTTAGTTGTTAAATGACAGTTTTGTGGGGGTCATATACATTTGTTTGCAGTGCTATAGCTGCCTGCATAGTAAAGTTAGTGATAAACATTGGTTGAACTCAACAGGACATGATTCTATTACTTTGGTTACATTGTTGTTCTGTAAATTTTAATTATTTCAATTTCTAGTAGTTGGCAGATGAACATTGCAAAATCAGTTGGAAACTTGCCCATTTCTGCCCATTGCTAGTAAGCTTCTTCAAAAGAAACTCATGACTTTTTTGTTCTATAAAGGTCTGTCTTTTCTCATGAAATTGATTCCACTTTTTTCTTATATTCTCATGCCAAACTTTTCTCTTGTTGTTTACAAATCTTCCAGGCAAAATGGCTGGTGGAATCTGCACTGGTCCTGTTAAGATATTTTCCGGAGCACCGTGAGGTTGGGCAAATATTTATTGATTTTTTCTTTTCAACTGTCTTTGAGGAAAAGTTCATGGGAGGAACTAATGGTTCCAATTGTTTGTGGTGTTATAGGAAGATTTTATGTATGAGGCTAAGATGATAAAGATAAAAGATGCTGATCTGAAGGTATTTTGATATTTAGTTTCATTTTCTGTATGTCTGCAAATATGTTTATGATAGAAGCATTTTTAGTCTATTTGAATTTCAAAATGGTGTGGTTACACAGGTCTTCTTTATCAACAAAACAAGTTTAACTTCACAGGTCTTCTTTATCAACAAAACAAGTTTAACTTACTCCGGGAAGAAAGTGAGGGCTATGCCAAACTGGTATGATTTTTAAGTTCTTTGCAATACCATGCTGAACTTCATTCCCAAAACTTGAAAGGTTTAATCATTTTAGAGGTGATTGGCTTTTGGTTAAGTATATGATAATTGTTTAAGATTTTTTAAATTCTGTTGCTATCTTTGTCTGATAGCCTTTTTCTTTTGGGATTGTGTTTTCCTTGTTTTTGTTCATAATAGTATGTAATCTCAACATGGTTTAGTTCTTTTCATGGAAACCCAATGGGTTTGAGATAGTGACTTGAAAATGATGTGATGTGAGAAGGAATTGATAAAGAAGTGAGTTTATTTATTATTGATGAACATTACTAATATATCAAAATATAATCTTTCACAAATTATTTTCTTCTGTTAGCTAACCCTTGTTTATTTCTCAAGTTCTTAATCTAACAATTTTCAAAATTTTGTAGGTTACCCTCTTATTATTATTATTATTTTTACCCCTACCTGCACACTCACAAAACAAACACACCCATCCGGCATTGAACCTAGGACCTTGCCCGAAGCTATGGATGTCTCACAACCTCATCTACAGGAAACTGTGTCAATGGCAACAGTTGGCACTCTGTTAAGGTTTATACTAATCTTTTATATACTCTGCTGAACTCTGTTTCGTCATCTTTTCTATTTTCTGTAATACCTGCAGTCATTAATTAGCCAATTTGATCTGGATCCAAGTCGAATTTTTGATATTGTAAGTTGGTTCTTGCTTAATCCTTGGTTTTAACTTTATGCAAATAACTTGTACAATACAATGTAATTTCAGGTATTGGAGTGCTTTGAACTTCAACTTGATAACAACGATTTTCTTGGATTTGATCCTAATATCTCCCAAGGTACAGTGCCGACTCGTGCCCCAGTTTGTCATTTTCTTTTCTCTTTACTTACTATTCTTCTTTTCAATTTTTTTTGAGATTGTCCTGTGGGAGTGCAGTGAGATGGAGCAATGCATATATGGGTTTGAAGAGGAGAGTGCATAAAAAAATTAGGATGAGTTGGCCACCATAATAGGGCATAGGAATTACAAGTATATAGGATATAGTGAAAATAATTATCTTATAATATAAATAATTATAAATTAAGATTAAAATAGTTAATTAGTTTAATTAAAATTTAAAAAAAATAAAATTTAAAAATTTAAAATGAGATTAAAATGTGTAATCATTTTTAAAAAAAGAAAGTGACATGGTAAGTGGACGAACAGAAACGACAACGTGGACATGGTATTTGGGACGGAGGGGGTATTTTTTTTACATGACATTTAATATAATGTAATAAAATAATTAAAAAATCTCAATAACAATATCAATAATATAGTAGTAACTTCAATCACGTGATTCACGGCCATATTGGTGTATCATTCGATAAAAAATAAAAATGTAAGTTTAATTTGGGGAAGGGATGAAAAGTTTAGTATTCCTATAATTCTTACATCATGAAAGAAATATATATAGCCTCCAAAGCAGCAACGGCGGGTTCCCACAAAATATGTCTCGTCTCTACTTTGTAGTTATATTGTAGTCACCACTCAGACCCGGTAGGCGAGAAGTCTTTGACACCCGAACGATTAATAACGCCCGATAGAGCCTCTACAACCTATGTCCAAATGAGAAAGGAGAAAGTTTATCACGATCAACAACAGATCTTTATCAAATGCATCGCATCATTGCGCTAACTTACCTTACTCATTGGGTATCTACTCCTCGGCTCGTAACTTAGGCATTTGTACGCAATACGAACGAGCCAATACAGTTGAAAAATATCGACGCCGTCTTGAACCTCAGGATCTATCAGCTCCATGTATTTCTTCTTCTTTAAAAGTGGTCTCGCCTACAGCATACAGACTATTAAATGATCATTTCATCTAAAAAAAATTAAATTTTAATAGCTTTCGATGTCTTAAAACTTACCCATCGAAGGAAGCTCTGCCCATTCGTGTCTTGCAATGTCTTTCTCCCGGTCATTAGCTCCAAAAGCACGACCCCGAAAGAATACACGTCGGCTTTACTCAAGTCTATCCCGGTTTCTTGATATTCGGGTGCTAGATATTCAAACGTCCTTACGGTTGTTGTGTCCGACGATTGTCCCAAGGCTTCGTATTGATTCATACTCAGCCCGTAATAAGAAATCTGATCCGGGACGGGACAAATTTTACAAAGGCGTAAACAAACGACGTAGTCATATTTAGATGGCTTGAAACGAGTCTTACCAACGGATGATAGTCGTGCGTGATTAGGATGTTGCTCGGCTTCATGCTTCCGTAGATTCTTTCTCCGTGTAAATACGCCAACCCGTTGGCGACTCCATGTGCTATAATTATGCGTCTTTCCCACGTTAACCCGCGACTTTTTTCTTCAGTAATCGAAGAATTAGAATGCTTATAGTCGATTCTTATCACTATAAATCCATGCAAGTTTTGAATGCTCGATTCTTACCTGATAGAAGCTTGTTGAGCGAACCGTTGCAGACGTATTCGTAGAGTAGAAACCGGTGTGGTCCATCCGAGCACGATCCTATGAGCAAGGCGACGTTTTTGTGGCCAACGTTTTCGAGGATCTTAAGCTCCCTTTTGAACTGTTCTTCTTTGATTGCTGTTGAAGGGCTCTCTCTAACTACAGCTTTGCTTTGATCATTCAACAAGCTAAGATAGATCTTCCTTCCATGATCAGGCACCAAGTTTTGAGGGCAAAATCCATTTGTTGCAAGCTGCAGCTCTGCATAACTGAATTTTCTTCGATTCCCAATCCGTGGCCTTTTGTTCTTGCAGATCGAACACCCCGGATCAGCTAAGGTAGACCTTCTCTGTCCACCTGCGCGCGAAAAAGTTAGGATTACGAAAAAAAAATGGAAATGTATATATAGGGGCGTTGTCGCCTTACTAAGTTCGGAATTTGTCGAGCTCTCCAATGGAGGATCTGTGCCGACCTCATCTGCCTGAGGTCGGCTTATGATCTTGATGCTGTTGGATTTCACTCTGTATATGCCGCAGGACAGGTTCTGTGTGAAATACTTGACGTCATTCTTCGATTGCCTGTCAAAGAGATTGTGTTTTTACAGAGGATTAGTGTTTTTTTTTTCGATAAAAGTAGTAAAGAAATGTTGGAAGTACCTGTATAGAATTACGTCGGTGGCCTGAAAGTTCTTTGCGTAAGTTACGGCAACTTCCTTTAGCAAGCCTGCTTCCACTGCTACGTCGAATTCAATCTTTTCGCGCGCGTGTTGGAAGTTGATCGTCGGATGAGTTATTATAAATTAGGATCGGAGGAAAGAATGATCAAAGATTGTCCAAATATATATATATTCACCTTTAGTGATGATGCAATCTTGATCATTTCTTTGTATCCTTGACAAGTTAAGTATCTTTGTCGCGTCTTGTGAACTTCTTCCTCGATGTCTTCCTTGTGCTTGTTGATCGTCGCGCTCGAATGCAACTTAGTTTTATCTTCTACAAAATTTAACATAAACATGGGTATTGTTAAATAAATATTTACTCTGTTGTTATGATAAATAATCATCTCATTTAAAAATTTAAATTTATAGAAATATACATCATTAGTTACAAAATTTGAAAAAGCTGAACTCGTAGGCAAATTAAAATTTCGTACCAATCCACGAGCTGCATCCATTTCTAGTAAATGCCTGGATGATGCCGAGAACTCTTATTACGTCGCCTTGAATGAGTACAAATTCACTTAGGAAACCCCTCATAGAACTAAAACAAAGCTTCCTCGAAGCGTCTTGGACAATTAGCACTCTATGCGAGTTTGTCGACATTTTCCCTTTAAGCATAAAAATAAAAAATAAAAAAAAAAAAAGTTAGCACGCCACTCTACCGTCCTTTCTTGCTTGAAAAAACTATGTAAATTATGTTACCGCCGCTATACCGAGCTTTCTTGATCGAAAAAACTATGTATATACTACATGAAGGAAGTGAATTACCCTCTAAAATAGATGCATGTTGATATTTATTGGAGGGTTTTTGTTTTTTATTTAAAATTTTTCTTGTTGGTCTCTATGCTCATCTTTTTAACAAATTGGACATATTGTGAAGAGGACAAGTTTGGAAACTTGTTTCTCCTTTGTGTTGGTAAGTGCAAAGTTTGTCATGTTTCTATGCAAATATTCAATTAGGGTAATAAAAACAAGCAAGAAGCTTTGGGTTTCTGGTTTAATTTGATTTGATTGGATTGGATTGATGATGGAAAATATTTTTTTGTGATAAGATGAAACTTTGATGTGGGAGAGCTGAATTTCCTATGACTTGAATTGGGACTTTTTTGGCTATTTTTTCTTGCTTCATGTGCTGAGTTTTGTTTGGATTATTTACATGTCTGAAAATGGACAAAACATGATTGATTTTTTTTTGCATTCTTTGTGCTGTAATTTCTTGTTGATTCGCCGCAGATTTTGGCTGTTCTTTCAGTTGCCCAAAAACTATGTTTAAAGTATTATTGTATGTTTTGTGTCGATCTTATCCATTTTGTACCCAAAAAAATTAAGGTCAAAACTGCTGTGAAGTTCTTGAAAATCCATCTCTGGAAAAGGTTGTGGTCATGGGACACTATGCAACAGAAATCTTGTCCAAATTCCATCCCAAAATAAGATTACACGAGAGGGGTTTTGAAAATTTGAAAATAGTAAAAAATTAGCATGTGATATAATGATTTTTAAAAAGAAAATAGAAAAAATAATGCAAAAAATATATATACATAGTGTATTTAATGTAATATTTATCATTCAAAATTTCAGTTCAAAATCTTCGAATAAACACGGGTGTTCTTTTAGATATTTTGTTTTATTTTTGAATAGTAATTTAATTTAATTTTAAAAAATAATATTTTTTTATATAGAAAATTACTATTATTACATGCTAAAAAAATTAAAATCAAAATTCCAAAAAAACGATCTTCAATGCAATTAAAGTCTCATAGTTCTATCCTAAAATTAAATCGGAATTGAAAACAATATCTCAATTCCATCCAATGTTATGAAATGGTCACTTTTCAAAAGAGATATACATGCTCTGTGATTATATATACTTTCCAGACATTTATCTTCTTTTAGTAAAAATGTCATACTCGTTTTTATTTTTTAAAAATACTTAATATTATTATTCATTAATTCTCATCTCATCTCTCATCTCAAATATCACTATTAAGTGAGTATTATTTTTTTATCATTGTTAATCAATTTTATTTTATTTTTACATCAAAATTCATGTCAAATCCAAATAGCTAACCGTATATAATATAATATACTCTTCCATGGTAGAAATTTGGAAGAAAGTAAAGAAAGAAGAAGCCCATTTGATGGAAGTGGAAGCACGTGCACCCGCAGCAGCAGCCCACAACAAACTCCCTCGATAAAATTAAAGACTCCATTTTTATATCATATCATATCATCAGTTATTTCTTAACTAAAAACCACTGTTTCTTGTTTGCTAACTCTCACACACACACACACACACTTTCACTCACTCACACTTTTGCAGGCTTTTTCCCACATATCTCCCATCTCGACAAATCCCCTTTTCCTATTTTTCTATATTCTCTTCTCTTTCTCTACCTTTACATTTAATTGATTAATTAAATCAATAATGCAGATGGATAGATGTAGATATGATTGAATTTAATTAACCGTGCCGTCATTGTGTTTGTAGAATCTCCATAGCTATGGATCTCCTCTCTCCAATTACCCTCGATTTGGTTTCTGGATCAAAGGTATGTAATTGTAAATGTATATGTGGATGATGATGAACCCCTCTTGTATATTTTTTTTAATAGGAATCTTTGATTGATCTGTTCTTGTGAGCAGCTTGGTATGCCTGGATTTGTTCTTGGGTGTGCTTTTGATTTGTGAATTCTTGATCGGAAATTGATTGATTTTGCACTTTCTTGAATCTTCATTTTGTTTTTTCCTCAGTTAATTGCTTCGATTTCTCATTGATTTTGACAAAAAAATCATTTTCCCAAATAATTGTTGAGTTTGTGTTCTTGATTTAAGACAACCCCATAAAGAAAAGAAATTCCCAAAATGTAATGCCTAATTTGTTGATTCTTTCGATGTTTGCACTGATCTTTTGATGTTTCTGTGTTTGCAAAGGTTTAGAGATATATAGAGAGAGATTAGGACATATATAAATATATAGAGAGAGAGAGAGGGGATTAGGAGGGAGATGTCAAGCCATGGAAGAACTCATTGGTGCTACAGATGTTCAGACACAATAAATCTCCAGACACAAACCACAGTTTGTCCAAACTGCAATGGAGGTTTCATACAAGAACTCGAAGAACAGGTCGCCGGAAACTCGCCAGAGCCGGTGCACCGGCCGAGGTTCATGGAGGCCGTATCGAATTTCCTAAGGGAGCAAATGACTGTAAGAACCAACAACACAAGGTTGTCCGAGCCGAGCCGTCCAAACGGCGGTTCGTGGAACTCATTCCTCGTCTTCACCGGCGACATTTCGCCGGAAACAAGATTGCCGGGGAGAGGCGGACTATTGGAGTTCCTCAATGAATCTCTCGGATTCAGGCGCGAAAACGGCGGCGATTATTTTATAGGCCCCGGCGTTGAAGAGTTCTTCGATCACGTCACCCGCGACACGCAAAACGGGGCTCCTCCCGGGGCAGCGTCGAGATCGTCAATCGACGCATTGCCGGTCGTCAAGATCGGGAAGAAGCACGTTCGCGCCGATACGACGTGCGCCGTTTGTAAGGAGAAGTTCGAGCTCGGCTCCCGGGTCAAGAAGCTTCCGTGTAAGCATTTGTATCATTCGGAATGTATCGTTCCGTGGCTCGAGCAACGCAGCTCGTGCCCCGTCTGCCGGCACGAGCTGAGTAGCCGTCGAAAAAACAGTGGAAACTCAAGCGATCGGAACAGGGCGACAATGAGGTGGCGGCGGTGGTCGTTTCGATGGCTGTTCCGTTCGACTCGGGCGAGTCCGCGACGGCAGAGTGATACGGATGAACCGGAGACAGTGTCCTACCATGAGGGTGATCAGTATAGGGAGAACTCATTTTGGCCCTTTGAATACTAACTAATCTTCATATGGTTTTAGATTATTTCTGTCATAATGTTTTTATGTTTGGATAATAACATGTTGATTATTGTTGTTTGATTTCATCCCAAATTTTGCTATTTTGGCAAATATTGTTTAATCAAATCGAAGAAAAATATTCGACTTTGATATTGATATTAAGGAATTACTTGTTAGCAAAAAGTAGTGATAAATTCTAGGAATTACTTGTCCAACATTGCAACACAAATTCAAAAGGTATGTTTGTAGAGATAATAAGACATTACAAAGCAAAAGGAAAGCAGCAGCAGCATCTGTAGAGCATAAGAAAATTGCAATTGCATAAAGTAAATAAATGTTTTACGACCAGCCGCCGCCGCCGCCGCCCCAACTGCCGCCGCCGCCGCCGTCTTCGGAGCTCTTTTTGCTACCACCGCCCCACCCAGAACTACCACCACCATCCGCACCACCACCGGCATTACTGGAACCACCGCCGCCGCCGGCCTGCCCCCAGGAACCCCAACCACTGCCGCCGCCATCCCCAGCATTGCTGCCGCCGTCGCCTCCTCCCCAGCTACCACCAAATGCATCCCGACCGGGGGAGTTATCGACTTTGGCTCCAGGAAAGCTTCCCCATCCATCGTTGTTGCTGTTGTCATCTTTATTGTCCCACTTCCTCGACCCTCGATCTGAATCTTGTCGGTCGCCTCCCCTTCCACCGCGCCCGCGTCCCCGGCCGCGCCCACCGTATGGTCTAGGTGGCCCGTCGCCATTTCTGTAGTCGCCTCTCCCTGGAACCGAATTGAAATTTTACGTAGAAATATGAACAATATGATATAATAGCCAAACAAAAAGGCAACTTTTGTATCAACTACGCGAATGCAATAAAAAACTGAGTCGAGGGCGTAGTTTAACCTGGTCGAGATCCGGAACCCCTATCTCTATCTTGACCTCCTCGCCAGCCACCGCCGCCTTCATTGTTCGAACCGCCCCAGCCACCCCCACCAGGAGCAGGACTCCTCATAGGAACCATAGCGGCAACCGAGCGAATTGACGGTGCAGAATCATGAGGATCGTCGATATGCCTCTGGAAATAAGCCACTAGACGGTCAATGTCCTCGAACATTCGTTTCCGGAACTTGAATCCTTTCGGATAGAGGCCGATGTACTCGTGATGTGGATTAGAACTGCGTATGTACGTCAGGATGAAAGTTCCGGGATGTTCGTGGGATATTCCGAAGCCATAGACAATCCTCATCGGATTCTCAGCCTTCTCGATTCGAAGGAGCTCGTCAACTTCAGTTTTAGTGCCTCGCCTAAATTTGCGGTAGTTAAGCATTACTTTCAAATGGGCTACCAACGGATCCACATAACGATCCATTACCTAGAAGGACGTGGAATGATTAGTCGTAGTCAATTAAGCAGTGACAAAGTCGCGTCTTTAAGCAAAATAGCTCGAATACCATACCTCGTCGAGATCTTCAAATGTATCGTCCCCAATTTTAAGTGTCTTCCCAATTCGAAGTAAACTAGTAATATCCTTGTGTTCCTTTCCACCTTCGATAATGTCCTTGTTGGCATATACCCCATCGTAAACTTTCAGTGTCAAGGTCAAATACGAAGGTCCACGGGAACTAGGGCGAATGACACTTTCGCCAGGATCTTTCTCAGCCAAAAACTGTTCCAACACATACCAGAAAATTAACCGTGATTCCTGTATTTATTCGATAGCAAAATATAGAGGCGAATCATAGGAAAATGGAGAATAGTAATGTGCAACAAACCTCAATTGCTGCATCAGCTGTTATGTTTTGGAAGCGAGGGTGAACAATCATCCTCGGCTTAAAATGCTTCTTTGCAAGCTCCTTCTCTTTACGACTTTTTTCTTGTTGAGACTGTGGGGCGGTGCGATCTTCATGATAGTAAGGATCCAAGTTCCGATTAGTCTGGAAACGATTACCCCTCATTTCACTCTCTCTACAAGTCAAGAACACCTGATACCGATTCATCTGAATAGATTTGATTCTGCAACTTAAAATTTCTCCTTCACGGAGTTTCTCGGTTAAATCGTTAATATCCCTCCACTCATCCGTATAATCTTCCTTGGCGAGCACGCCTTTCAATCCAGACTCAAGAAGACAAAATGCCCTATTCTCTTGCACTCTTTGAACGGTAGCTTGCACAATTCTTCCTTCAGATAGTGTTTCTTCGGACTCCCCGGATAGCAAGTAAAACTCATCATCTTGACTTCGGGGTTCGTATGGTCTACGCCGATCTTGGAAGCCTTCAATCAACTCCAGCCTGATATCATTAAGGGTTTGTTTTTTGTTCAAGCGGCTCTTCTGTTCAGCATATTCTTGAACATCGACAGCTCTCAATAAATGAGGCTTCTCCCTGACATGCTCTATAGCCATTTCCAGTACATCATCATCATCGTTTGCATCATCATTGCCATCTTCCCGATAAATATCCTTGGCCAGATCTTGTGCAAGGCTGTAAGACTCTGGATGTATTCGAGTGTCATCCAACAAATCTATAAACTGACTGCTACTAGATGTAAGACCACTGCGTCGAACTCGAAGGAATCCAACAGCATTAATAAAGACCTTTTTACCAAGACCATGAGACGTCAAAAGATCTTTCCTAGTGAATATGGCTCCTGCTCTTACCAAGGACCTTTGCAAAGAAGCTGCTTTTCGGGGTCCAAGCCCAGAGATAAATTGCAGAGGAGCAAATAGCCATTCATGGCTAGAAGCCAAGTTCAAATCAAGACCGACCTGATTTGTAACATCCACCATAACTTGCTCGATCATGCTATACTTCTCATCAGGAGTAAGAAAATTCTCCAAGGGACTGAGTTTCCAAGACAATATCTCCCTACCCGGACCACATAATGTGGCCACCATGGTTAATGGATTCTGAAGATAACGCCCAATACCAACAGCGCGCCTAATAATCCCTATAACAGACAAGGATACATGTAAATTCCCAATCAAATACATTAAATGTCCAAGGACAGGAAGGTATGAAGAATAAACAACCACAAAAAACAGTATACCACAGAGAAATAAGGTAATGAAGTAGAATTCTGGAATTACCTTCTTGAGAAGGAAGTTGATCGACTGATATGCGAGAATTCTCATACAAATGCGGAAGAGACTCGTCACCAAAGACAATATTCATATTGTCCATCTCTTGACCGACGTCCCTGGGGTTATCTTCCACCATCTTGAAGATAATCTGATGATACATGAGGTAAAATATTATATATAACGGCACACGACTTCTCACTCAACAAAGAACTCCAAACAATGAGAAAACACTTCTTGTATTTACCTCGTAAATATCATTCTTTAATTTGGTACAGGACAAATTAGCTGCACCTAGTGCCACAACTTGGGGTTGGTGATCCATCATAAACTTCTGCACTCGCTGTTGATCATTTTTCTTACGTTGCTGTTCATTAACACTTTGCCCACGAAGACTCAGGTTACCAGCATGCAGTACATCAATAACCTCTCCAGCTGAATCCAACATCACAAAAGTAGTAGCAGGCTTCCCTGGTCCCCAGCAACAAGCCATAACCCTCGGGGCAGCTTCCTCATCTGAGCTAATATCACTTTCTTTGCACTGATATGGAGCAACAGACACTTTGTCCCACAATAACTTTCCATATTCCCAGTGTAACCAGGCTTTTGCCCGACTGGTCAGTAGAGATCTAGCCTCCTTTTCCATGGAAGGCAGAAGCAAATTGTGAAAGGCGTCATGAATTATGAGCTTTCTCTGCTCGTTCCACAGCTGAGCAGATTTACTAACACCATCACTCAGATAATAGTCATGCGAATCACTTATCAGCTTTTCAAGGACAACTTCGGGTAACTTGATAGTAACTTTCAAAAGCTTATCTTCTTCAGCTTTCTGAATCAAAAGCCATTGAGCATCATCAAATCGGTTGAGCGGCTTGTCACGCAACCACTTAATTCCAGCAAACTGGTGGAAAGAATCAATAGCTGTATTGCCATCTTGCGTAGGACTAGTTGACACTACAGCATTATCCACAAAGATACTGCGGACATGCTTACGGACAATTGGTTCACAACTGATTTCAACAGCGGCCTGGATATTAGCATAAAAAATCAGACAATATCTCAAAATTATTCAGTTCACAAGAACAAATCAAACTGCAACTGCACATACCATGTGCCTTGCACCTTTCAACACAGCTTGGGGTGTCTCAAACATTTTACAGGTGAAATTAGCTGCCATCTCCTCTGGTGTTTCCTTCGCATCCTCCAATTCATCCATCCTCTACAGAAAATACATACATATATATATAATAAGAAGTAAATAAACTGAAACCACACCTAACAAGTGCAACAAAAAATAACACTACACCCACCATTTTCTCCAGGGAAATCTGCAAACCAAATTGCTCTGAGCTATAGCCAAATTTGCTTGCAACCTCCCATAGTCCAGATTTAGAGCAAACACTGTAATGTGATCTCCTCTTTGGCCTCTTAAATTGTCCCTCATCCAGAACAACTTCACCAGGGGGGAAGTGTAAATTAAACTTGGAGTCTACATCATCAACCTCCCTTTCTGAATCGGCAGTTTTAAGCGACTTAGTTATTGACTCAAAAAGCATTTTATTTAAATCTAGGCGTGTTTCATCGTATACTCTCCGAGTCTCTTCTTCAAACCGCTTATTGTAGTATGACTGGAGTGCACTCTTTCTTTTTTGAAGAAGAAGCCACTTGTGATCCAAGTCCTGAATTGACCAAAGCACCTGCATCACAACAGTCAGTTGAGTTTTAAGTTAAAAGTTTCAAAGCCAAATTTTCCTGCAATTTGAGACAAACATATTCTCCTCAGTAAATTATAAAGGAGCTTTCTAAGTATAGCAACTTCCATCAAAATAAATTCAATAATAAAAATTATACTAATAAGTATAATATTAAAAGTTGAGGCATGGTTTGATATTAAGACTGTCAAAACCCACCTTGTGCCACTTCAGAGGAGGTTTCTGGTTAGGATCATTATCAATATCAGCTTCAGGCTCATTTGGATCCTTTAATAGGCTCAAAATCTCCTCTTTTCGATACATAGCTATGAATGGAACCTACATTACAGACAAAACGTTGAAGAAATGAATAGAAAAGGATGATATTCTGACAGTGGTAATAAGCACAAAAAATAGAGGAAAACACATACATCTAGCTTTTGAACATGCATTAACTCCAGAAATCTAGCAAGATGTCTCTTCAGTTCATCATCTACTTCCTCATTCGTCGAACTACTCTTGTTATAAAATGGTACCATGCCATTCACAAGCTGATTATATATCCATTCTGTCTCCATCTTGTTACTAAGCTCATCCGTTGGAGGGGGACCAGTACTTTCTTCAGATAACTACAGAAGAAAAAAATCAAATAAAAAAACTAAGATCTCCACACACATAACAACAAATATTACGAAAGATTCTTAATAAACCTGCATCCTTTCAGGGACGTCAATCTCTCTAATCTGATCATCTTTTCCAGTCATATATTTCTCAGAAAGTATGCTGGGGTCAAACTGATCCTCAAGGCTCCTCTCACCAACTTCACCAAACCTATCCCTGAATCCCGACTTCCTACTGTCCAAAAGTTTGTCAACGTCACCAAATATTTCATGGGCTTCCTGAAGGGCAGATGAAGAAATTCCTGGTCGCTGCCTGCTCTTCTTGACTTTCTTCCTCCTGCACAAAGGTATGTCCATTTATACTCGTAAATTTATATATCAATTACGTGCCACATCAACAGATTGTGACAGGCGTAACGTATACCTCAAAGGAGCCCCATTTTCATCAACTTCCTCTTCATCAACAATAAAATCTGCCATCTCATCCTCCTCCCCAATGTCAGCATCCTCTTCCTCCAGAGGTTCATCCTCCTCAGCAATATCTTCGAGAGGTTGTCCTGTAATTTTCACAGAAACCCGTGATCAGTAAGAGTAAATAATTGTTCCAAGCTCCCATGGAACAAGATAGTTTCAAAAAAAATTACCATCATCATCTCCAAACAAGCTGCGCTTAAGCTTCTCCTCAGCTGTCCGCCCACCTTTACCACTACCATCAAACTCCTCTTCATCAGAAAATCCAGAGGAGCCTTCTTCTGCATCCCTTCGAGCCTTTTTTAGACGCTTAAATTTCTTACTTTCCTGAGGACAAACAATCAAGGTTAATAGTCACCCATAAACAACACTAATCATAGCAAGCGAACGGATAAATAAGTAAAATATATGCAGAGATGAGTAAATGGAAACATACCAACTTCGGGCGATGCACAGAGATATTGCTTTCCTGGAGGAGTTCATAGTCATCCTCGTCAAGAACATAGTTCCTTTCTGACTCCCTATGATTAGAGAAATGTATAGTAATTTGAACACATTTTACTCTATCTAGGTAAGGTTTATTGACATAAACTTTTACAAACAGACAGAAGATGGTACACACCTCTTTTTCCTTTTCTTTTTCTTTTGCCTCTCCTCATCACTGTCAACTCTATCCTCTTCCTCCTCTTCCTCTTCTTCCTCGACATCATCCACTATGAATCCATCTTTTTCATATTCGTCCTGCCCTTCCTCTGTTCCAGTGTTCAATATAAACTCCATCAATCAATGAACAACAATGAACTTAAAATAAATAAAATGTCAGCATGTCACAACAACCAAACCAAAATTGATCTGAGTTACCGAATTCTACCTAAGATTTGAAAGTTTCCTTAATGAAATTTACTAATTAAAGTAACCAAATAACTCTATCTGGAGGGGAACAGGAGCATAACACATCAAAGCAACCCAATCCTAAAAAACTATGCTCCCAGCAGAATTATTAAATCAAATGTGAATCATAAATTCAAAACCCTTTGATTCTGGCTAGCAAAAAAACAAATAAACGATTCCTTCCAGAAAGAATTTTTCCGACACGCAAGAAAGCCTAACATCACTAAAGCACAAAAGATATCAAACAAATCAAAACCGAAAGCTCATACATTCATATATCTTCAAAAGAAAATGAAGGACAGACCAGAAAATGCTTCTTACCGTCTTCTTCTTCTTCATCCTCTTCGTCCTCGCGTTCATCAGCTTGATCTCCGTAAGGCTCTTCATCTCTCTCCTCTTCGTCAACACCAATCTCATCTGAGAATTTTTAAAGAAACCCAAAAATGAATACCAGCCAATATTGATAGAATCAAAAAAGCTTCGGACGAATTAGAATAATTTATCATGTACAAATATATTTTGACCAAACAAAAGAAGGGAAAATCACAACTATTCATACCTTCGTCGTCAGAGATCACATTCTTCCCAGCCATGGCGATGCGAGTGCGGAAACAGGTAGGAAAAGTAAAACCCTAGAAGGAAGGAATCAAGCTAAAATTAAGTAAAATACCCTCCCTCCTGTCGAGCTTCAAAAATGGCCCCGAATCATCCATCGTTTCTCCAGCCCCATTTCTTCATTAAATCGAAAACCAAAAGCCCTAGACCACGAACGAACAAACCCTTTTTACGGTCGCCAGCTGATTTCCTCTCGTCGATGCACAAAAACAAGAATGCATAAGACCACTCAGGCACGCACACAAATATATATACAGACTTGCCCAATCGGTTCCGAACCGGCGCCGGTTCTCCGGTTTCTAGCTATCTAACCTAGACCGAAATCGGTTATTTCTTCCAAACCGTGAACCACAGGTTTTTGTCATAAAAAAAAATTGATAGTTAGGTAAGGGTGGTACGACTTTTGGGTTGATTTTAATAAATTTATACTCCCTTCATCCCGGATATCATGTCCTTATTGTCGTTTTTGTCCCTTCCATATACTATGTTATTAAAATGATTACACACTTTAATTTTATTTTAAATTTTTAAATTTTATTTTTTTAATTTTAATTAAACTAATTAGTTATCTTAATCAGAATAATTATTTTTACTAATACATTCTTAATTATTTGCTAATTACATCCCTCTTAAAATACCGTGTCTACAGTGTAGAAGACACGGGGACGGTGGGAGTATATTTTATATATAAAAATTAATTATTTTAAATATAAAAGTAAAATTATAATATAATAAAATATTATAATATAATTAATAAATAACTAATATATTTATTTGTATAAAATACATAATAAATTTTTAAAATCAAATAATGAATAAAAAAAATTAAACTGAAAAATCTATTTCAAAGCGCCGGGTAAATTAGCTTTTTAGAATTTAGTTTCCTGGGTGAAAAAAAACTATTCCGAAAAGCTAATTTACCAAATTGTTCAATAAGTTATTAAAAAGTTCTTTGTCAAACATCCTTTATTTTTTTTTATACGAAAGTTGAAAATTTATAAGGATATTTATTATATTAAATATGTAATATAATTTAAAAAGTTAGAAAAAAAAAATAGTTCTTCAGTTTTCATTGAAAGATTGTCATCTTTTATTTTTTGTCCGTCCCAAAATAATGTTACAATTTTATAATTTACTAATTGTACTACTATAACATAATAAATATCATTTCAACTTAAACTATATTACACATGTGTCATTATTTTTATATTATACAATACTAATAAGTATATTTTTGTCTTTTTAACTACAACCCAATATAATACTATTAATATTCAAAAATCTACTTGTAAAAAGTAAACGACAATCTTTTTACAGGACTGGGAGAATATTATTTTTTAAACAAAAAATGCCATTTTTATTTTTCTTTTTTGTGAAACATACCAAATATTATTTTTTGAAAATAAAAATATAGTTCAATGGCAAAACCCTCAACCTGCACTTACAACTTACCTTTATGTGTTTTAATTCAATATTTAATTTATTCATTTATTAATTCATTATACTTCTTCGTCCCATTGGTTACCATTTTTCATTTTCGTCCGTTATCATTTCCTAATTTAGTAATTATACTATCTATTTAACATAATAAATACTCTTTCAATTTACAATATATTACACAAATGTCAATTTTCATTATTTTTATATTATACTATACTATGGATATTTTTGTTTTTTTTTTTACTGTAATCCAATATAATACTAATATTTAAAAATTTATGTGCAAAGAGCAAATAACACCCTTTCAATGAGACGGAGGCAAAATCAATCTTTTTTTTTTTTCACATTATAACAAATCTAATAAATTTTAATTACATTATCATTGTAAAAACATACTATCATTTATCTAAATACATATAATTCTAAAATTCAAATAAAATTCATAATTTTACATTTTAAAATTATTGTTATATACTAGTATTTTATAAAAAAAAAAAAAAAACATATATCTATGACAATGTTAATATTTTTTAGTTGTATTGGCTAACTTTTGTACTGTGTACAACCGTTTAAGTTACAAATTGAGAAGTAGATATCAAATGAGCAAGGTAAGATGTACATATGATCCATCTTGATGAAGTTCAATCGGAAGTTTTCACTCATTATAGTATCAAATATTTATCATTTATCGAATTTAAACGACAAGTATAAATTATCTATATATTGGAGATAAAAATATATTTTGTAAAAATCAACAATCACTGCTATATTTATTCAAGAGCTATTTATGTTTCTTTAATGATAGAAGGATTAACCATGGACTTCCTAATATCAATAGAAAGTTTCATTTCTCTATGCTAACTCATGTTTTTTTGGCAAAATGTAAAAATAAGATCAACACCTATATAGAATTGTTAAACAAATTATATTGTTGGTGAGTCAATGACTTGATTCAACTCAAGCTTGCCAATAGTTCGATTGGATTAGGTGGTATACAGTATATATTCTTTTATAGATGAATATAATATGTTTTTTTTTTTTTTTTTAATCATCTACAAACAAATTATTTGTTTGCTCAATGAAATTTTATGGCATAATAAATAAAATAATAATATAATGAATAATTGCCGGTAAAAAAATGACCAGCGCTCTAGGGGAGAACCATTTTGCATATCTTTTCAACTCTCAAATTTTAGTTTTAAAAATTAAGGATGTGTTTGTTTTTTAAAATGGTTTAAAGAAATACATTTGTGATGTTATTTATAAAGAATTACGTATATTTAAATGTATAAAAAAATATAAAAATAATAAATATAAAATATAAAAATAATAAATTTATATTATATAATTAATATTTCGTGTATAAAAAAGAACAATCCCTAATTCTCTACCGCGGGAACGCCCCAACACCATCACCGCCGCTCTCTCTCCGGTCTGCGCTTCCACCATCCACCGCCCGCCGTTCATCCTCCACGTCGTCGCGCCACCATCCTGCCTTCCGCCCAGCGCCTCCGACCGGGCGTCCAAAGCCGCCGCTGGCCTTCGCCCTCTTCTTCTTCTTCTCTCTTTATCTTCCTCGCCCCGTCCGAAGCGCGCGCACCGGGCCGCCGCGATTCTCCACCAGCAGCGTCCGTCAGCCCTCCGCCTCCACTGTCTCTCCGCCGTGTACGCCGCAGCTCCGCCCGCGTCCAGTCGCGCCCGACCGCGTTGTCCTGCCGCCGTCGCCATAGCACTCTCCTCCGGTCCGAGTCCAGCAACCGCCGACGACCACCGCCCTTGTCCTTAATCCTTCGATTGGGTAATATTTTTCCATTCTAATACTTTCAATCTTTGGGATAATTTGTTGAGGTCGAGCTATTGATATTCTGGAATTGAGATTGAAACTCTGCATTTGAGTGTTTAGTGCTTGATCTTGCTATTCGATGAATATGGACAGCTAGGCATTGCATTGTTTCAATTATAGTTAATTTGTGTGCTATCTTGTTTTGATTTGGCATTTTTCACTTCCTCTTTGTTGGAATCTTAATTATCAGTGTTTCGAAAGCTTTATATGAATTTTGGCTATGTGACACTTCGATTCTTTGATTGTGCATTAAGAAAAGGGACATTTAACTAGACTATTTTCTTGGGATAGTTTGTCTGTGTTGGCTATTGTCTTTTTAAGTATTCCTGGGACACCTTAAGCCTCCTTTAAAGGTGATGCAAGAGCTACATATCTACAAGTGTTACCAAGAACATGAAAAAGCATGCTTTCGTGCCACCCCCTATGGACTATAGGGGAGTTTCTCTCATTTTTTTTCTTTTCGTTACATTATGGAATGTTTGATTTAGGTGTTGGGCCAATATTATGCAATTTTTGGTTTTTTTGGCTTGGTGCTATTTTTTTACGCCTAATTTTTTTTTTCTTTTGTATGTTTTTTAGATTAGTTTGAAGTGAGTTAAATATGATTTTATGTTATAGGTTAGTTTGACATGATTGATGATATTGGATATGAAATATGTTGAGCCTGATTGATATTTAAACCCTCAGAGAATTTGAGCCTATATTCCAAAAGTTTATATTAGAAAATAAGCTTACGTAATAGTTAAGCTTTTGAAAATTTCTTCTTGTGTGATATGTAGTGCTCAATTAGATGAGACTTAAAACTATGCATGTTGAGCTTGCAATTACCGAGTTTTGCAATTTGAAGATGATAAGGGCATTAGGTAACCATATTGAACCTTTTTATCACCTAATCCAGTATGTTTACTCTAGTTAGCCCATTTGAGCTTTTTAAACCTATTTCTTCCTATATTAAACTGTCTTTTAGCCCTATACCATTTTTTTTATTAAGCCTTCTCCGATTTGAACCCTGTGCTAGAGAGAACTACTTTAGGTTCATGATGTTATGCATTTTATTTATTTGGCATGAATAAATAATATGTTCATGAGTGATTGCCATAATGGGAGTGAAGATATAAAAGAAAAAAGATGAGAAGCGTCATTATCAATCTAGTTTAGGAGTGAAAAAAACATCTTGGTATGGAACTGTGAAGTTTGACTCTCTTTTGATTTTATTTTTTGGTTTCTAAGTATTTCTGGATATCTGATTTTAATGTTTAATAATCTTTGATTTAGTTGGATATTGTGGCTAGGTATTTCAATTATATTAAAGATTAATTGCTAAATTAAATTAGATGTCTGTAATTGCGCTTTAATTTGGTTTAAGTAACAACTAGGACAAACACCACTAGGATAACCAGGTCCGCATATGTAATTGTTATATCGAATTAAGTTAGACTAATAAATTCTTTGTGATATTAGAATTTAGACATTACTATAGTTCTAGTCTAATATGAAATCAGTAAACGGGCGTACCTTGACTGTCGAAAAATTAAAGAAGAGTTGGTTACTAGGTCTGCATCGATAATTATAACTAACTTATTTAGAAGTCAATAAAATTAAATATTTGTCGATGATCAAATTCAAATCGAAGTTGTCAATTTCATTCATTGGCTAAAAGTTTATTTTTATTGAAGTTTAACCGTAGAATTTTTGGTAGTCTTTTACTTAGTTAATTTTATTTTTGCTTATTTTATTTTTATTTCACTTCCTTATAAGATCCCCTTTAAAACAAACGAAATAAAACCTTTATGAGTTCGTTAAGAAGACGATCCTACTCCAACTATATTGCTTTGTTTTACTGTGGAACTAAGTTTTTTATTTAATTTTGCAGCGTTCGTCGAACATTGTCAAAAGGTTTGGTTAGTTTGTAGATTCACAAATTTTCCCAAATCAATCGGCATTGA